CTAGAGATCCTGATTCAAGTCCAGGCTCTGTCGTAGCCGGCCGCAACCGGGAGACGGCGCACAATTGGCCCAGCGTCGTCCATGTTAGGAGAGGGTTTGACCGGCAGAGATATTCTTGTCCCATCGCGCACTAGCGACTCCTGTGGCGCTGACACCGTAGCCGGGTGTACAGTTTTTCCTCCGACACATTGGTGCGGCTGGCTTCCGGGTTAAGTGGGCATTGTGTCAAGAAGCAGTTCAGTTGGGTTGTGTTTCGGAGGACGCACGGCTACCGTGTCCCGTACGGGAGATGCAGCGATTGGTAGTTATCACGAAATTGGGGACAAAAAGGGTCAAAACCCCCCCCCAAAGATTTATATCCTGAGATTTTAGGCTTTCGACCTTCTTGAATGGCGTTTTTCTATTCAAAACTTTGGAAGCTTTCAACTTTCCAGCTGAAATAATGAATGTAATAACAAATATTAATAAAATGTCCTAAAGCTAAAATATACACAAATAAACATCTCCGCTGTGGAGCTTTCTAGCTCCTTCAGGGTTATCTTAGGTCTCTTTGTTGCCTCTCTGATTAATGTCCTCCTTGCCTGGTTCATGAGTTTTGGTGGGCGGCCCTCTATTGGCAGGTTTGTTGTGGTGCCATATTCTTTCAATTTTTTTATAATGGATTTAATGGTGCTCCGTGGATTGTTAACAGTTTATGAAATTTTCTTATAACCCAACCCTGATCTGTACTTCTCCACAACTTTGTCCCTGACCTATTTGGAGAGCTCCTTGGTCTTCATGGTGCCGGTTGCTTGGTGGTGCCCCTTGCTTGGTGGTGTTGCAGACTCTGGGGCCTTTCAGAACAGGTGTATACATACAGAGATCATGTGACAGATTACGTAACACTTAGATTGCACACAGGTGGACTTTATTTAACTAATTATGTGACTTCTGAAGGTAATTGGTTGCACCAAATCTTATTTAGGGGCTTCATAGCAAAGGGGGTGAGTACATACAGTGGGGAAAAAAAGTATTTAGTCAGCCACCAATTGTGCAAGTTCTCCCACTTAAAAAGATGAGAGAGGCCTGTAATTTTCATCATAGATACACGTCAACTATGACAGACAATATGAGAATTTTTTTCTCCAGAAAATCACATTGTAGGATTTTTAATGAATTTATTTGCACATTATGGTGGAAAATAAGTATTTGGTCAACAACAAAAGTTTCTCAATACTTTGTTATATACCCTTTGTTGGCAATGACACAGGTCAAACGTTTTCTGTAAGTCTTCACAAGGTTTTCACACACTGTTGCTGGTATTTTGGCCCATTCCTCCATGCAGATCTCCTCTAGAGCAGTGATGTTTTGGGGCTGTCGCTGGGCAACACAGACTTTCAACTCCCTCCAAAGATTTTCTATGGGGTTGAGATCTGGAGACTGGCTAGGCCACTCCAGGACCTTGAAATGCTTCTTACGAAGCCACTCCTTCATTGCCCGGGCGGTGTGTTTGGGATCATTGTCATGCTGAAAGACCCAGCCACGTTTCATCTTCAATGCCCTTGCTGATGGAAGGAGGTTTTCACTCAAAATCTCACGATACATGGCTCCATTCATTCTGGTCCCTTTGCAGAAAAACAGCCCCAAAGCATGATGTTTCCACCCCCATGCTTCACAGTAGGTATGGTGTTCTTTGGATGCAACTCAGCATTCTTTGTCCTCCAAACACGACGAGTTGAGTTTTTACCAAAAAGTTATATTTTGGTTTCATCTGACCATATGACATTCTCCCAATCCTCTTCTGGATCATCCAAATGCACTCTAGCAAACTTCAGACGGGCCTGGACATGTACTAGCTTAAGCAGGGGGACACGTCTTGCACTGCAGGATTTGAGTCCCTGGCGGCGTAGTGTGTTACTGATGGTAGGCTTTGTTACTTTGGTCCCAGCTCTCTGCAGGTCATTCACTAGGGTGAGATCTTGCGTGGAGCCCCAGATCGAGAGAGATTATCAGTGGTCTTGTATGTCTTCCATTTCCTAATAATTGCTCCCACAGTTGATTTCTTCAAACCAAGCTGCTTACCTTTTGCAGATTCAGTCTTCCCAGCCTGGTGCAGGTCTACAATTTTGTTTCTGGTGTCCTTTGACAGCTCTATGGTCTTGGCCATAGTGGAGTTTGGAGTGTGACTGTTTGAGGTTGTGGACAGGTGTCTTTTATACTGATAACAAGTTCAAACAGGTGCCATTAATACAGGTAACGAGTGGAGGACAGAGGAGCCTCTTAAAGAAGAAGTCACAGGTCTGTGAGAGCCAGAAATCTTGCTTGTTTGTAGGTGACCAAATACTTATTTTCCACCATAATTTGCAAATAAATCCTACAATGTGATTTTCAGGATTTTTTTTCCTCAATTTGTCTGTCATAGTTGACGTGTACCTATGATGGAAATTACAGGGCTCTCTCATCTTTTTAAGTGGGAGAACTTGCACAATTGGTGGCTGACTAAATACTTTTTCCCCCACTGTGTACAGTTTAAGTCGGAAGTTTACATACACTTGTTTGTTTTGTTTTAGTCATTTAGCAGACGCTCTTATCCAGAGCGACTTACAGGAGCAATTAGGGTTAAGTGCCTTGCTCAAGGGCACATCGACAGATTTTTCACCTAGTCGGCTCGGGGATTAGAACCAGCGACCTTTCGGTTACTGGCACAACGTTCTTAACCACTAAGCTACCTGCCGCCCCACTTAGGTTGGAGTCATTAAAACTCGGTTTTCAACCACTCCACAAATTTCTTGTTAACAAACTATAGTTTTGGCAAGTCAGTTAGGACATCTACTTTGTGCATGACACAAGTAATTTTTCCAACAATTGTTTACAGACAGATTATTTCACTTACAATTCACTGTATCACAATTCCAGTGGGTCAGAAGTTTACATACACTAAGTTGACTGTGCCTTTAAACAGCTTGGAAAATTCCAGAAAATTATGTCATGGCTTTAGAAGCTTCTGATAGGCTAATTGACATCATTTGAGTCAATTGGAGGTGTACCTGTGGATGTATTTCAAGGCCTACCTTCAAACTGCCTCTTTGCTTGACATCATGGGAAAATCAAAAGAAATCAGCCAAGACCTCAGAAAAAAAATGGTAGACCTCCACAAGTCTGGTTCATCCTTGGGAGCAATTTCCAAACGCCTGAAGGTACCATGTTCATCTGTACAGACAATAGTACGCAAGTATAAACACCATGGGACCACGCTGCCGTCATATCGCTCAGGAAGGAGACGCGTTCTGTCTCCTAGAGATGAACGTACTTTGGTGCGAAAAGTGCAAATCAATCCCAGAACAATAGCAAAGGACCTTGTGAAGATGCTGGAGGAAACAGGTACAAAAGTATCTATATCCACAGTAAAACGAGTCCTATATCGACATAACCTGAAAGGCCGCTCAGCAAGGAAGAAGCCATTGCTCCAAATCCGCCATAAAAAAGCCAGACTATGGTTTGCAACTGCACATGGGGACAAATATCGTACTTTTTGGAGAAATGTTCCTCTGGTCTGATGAAAGAAAAATAGAACTGTTCGGGGTGGCAGGTAGCTTAGTGGTTAAGAGCGTTGTGCCAGTAACCGAAAGGTTGCTGGTTCTAATCCCCGAGCCGACTAGGTGAAAAATCTGTCGATGTGCCCTTGAGCAAGGCACTTAACCCTAATTGCTCCTGTAAGTCGCTCTGGATAAGAGCGTCTGCTAAATGACATAAAATAAAAAAATAAATAAAATATAATGACCATCATTATCTTTGGAGGAAAAAGGGTGTTGCTTGCAAGCCGAAGAACACCATCCCAACCGTGAAGAACGGGGGTGGCAGCATCATGCTGTGGGGGTGCTTTGCTGCAGGAGGGACTGGTGCACTTCATAAAATAGATGGCATCATGAGGAAGGAAAATTATGAGGATAAATTGAAGCAACATCTCAAGACATCAGTCAGGAAGTTAAAGCTTGGTTGCAAATGGGTCTTCCAAATGGACAATGACCCCAAGCATACTTCCAAAGTTGTGGCAAAATGGCTTAAGGGCAACAAATCAAGGTATTGGAGTGGCCATCACAAAGCCCTGACCTCAATCCTATGGAAAATGTGTGGGCAGAACTGAAAAAGCGTGTGCGAGCAAGGAGGCCTACAAACCTGACTCAGTTACACCAGTTCTGTCAGGAGGAATGGGCCTAAATTCACCCAACTTATTGTGGGAAGCTTGTGGAAGGCTACCCAAAACATTTGACCCAAGTTAAACAATTTAAAGGCAATGCTACCATATACTAATTGAGTGTATGTAAACTTCTGACCCACTGGGAATGTGATGAAATAAATAAAAATCATTCTCTCTACTATTATTCTGACATTTCACATTCTTAAAATAAAGTGGTGATCCTAACTGACCTAAGACAGGGAGTTTTTACCAGGATTAAATGTCAGGAATTGTGAAAAACTGAGTTTAAATGTATTTGGCTAAGGTGTATGTAAACTTCCGACTTCAACTGTATGTAAATGTGATTATATATATATATATATATTTTTTTTAATTATACATTTGCAAAAATGCAAATTAATTACTTAAAAATCATACAATGTGATTTTCTGGATTTTTGTTTTAGATTCCGTCTCTCACAGTTGAAGTGTACCTATGATAAAAATTACAGACCTCTATATGCTTTCTAAGTAGGAAAACCTGCAAAATCGGCAGTGTATCAAATACTTGTTCTCCCCACTGTACATATATTAATACAGACTAGCTCAAAAATAAGTGAAAATTGACAAATGATCCAATTGATTATTATACATTTCTGGTAAACTATCTGCTCGAAAAAGTGAATTTCTACTGGAGTTGGCGTTCCAACAATATTGTTTGTGATTTTAAATCAGTAACTACAGTTAAGTAAAACATTTTCAGGGGGACTTTTATTTTGGAAATTAGCCGTATGATCACGTGACCTTAATGCCGCTATGTTCACAATGCTGGGCGGTTCTTATTATACATCAGTGTGTTGGGCAGGGTTTGGGAATTAACGGGCGTACTGTAGCAGTTATTTTAATCACTTCGATCAAAACAAACAGTGATTTATCGACTACACTTCAGGTAAGCAATAATATTTTTTTACATACCACTCATATCCCCATTTGTTTTTATTTTTATGCAAGGGAAAGCTGCCTAGATAGTGACTAGCTATCTGAAATTCCGACAGGGAGGGAGAGCAGGGAAGGAAGGTATCGGAATTACACCCACTGGTCCAAAGCAGAAGTGCGTAGCGGGTTAGCTAGCTAGCTGGTTATTATCGCTAATTAAGTTATTATTCTCTAATACAATATATAAGTGGATGAGAGCATATAACGTGCTTTCAATAAAGCTAAACTGTTCAATCAAGTTTCTGCGAGTCAGCTTACTTGATTTTGCCAGAGCTCGCGCTAGGTGTGTCAGCTAGACAAGCAAGCGTCACATTCAGACCAGGATCTGTCATTCCTCCCCTGTTTCTAACCAGCTGGTTAGCTAGCAGCAACTAACCAGCTAATAGAAAACTATTAGAAGTAGCCTTTCTGCTATATCACTCAAGAGCCATATAGCTTGATAGCTTCCAGTCATGAAGACTGGTTTACTAATCTTATTATGGAAGCCAGGGATGTAGAGAGAAATCCACCTACTTGGAGAGACTGACTCGTGTAAAGGTGAGCTCAGCAAAGGCAAGCTGCATTTATCCTCAGTAAAGCTGTCCTGTAACTGATGCTTTAGTCAGCTAGCTAGATATTTGAGTTTCAATAATAGCAACCATTCCTTAATCCTCAGTCATTACTTGAACCAGTCTATCTAGTTGACTTAGACACCTATACTATATATGGTAATCAGCAAGATTCGCTTAAAAGTAACAGGTAACTTGGCTTCGTTTCAATATTAATTTATTATAATACGTGTATTACGATCTGGAGATAGTCGTTTTACAGAGAGTTAATATCAGCAAGATACAGCATCATGCTCGCGTTGTTTTGGTCTGACACCCCGAGGGGGAGGAGTGTCCGTGGCTACGTCACCACGGATCTGCCATTCTTCTTTTACATGGATGGCTCCAGACCAGACTGGCCTTATCGTTCAACATGCGTTTTGATATTGGGACTTGAATTTAGAAATTAATTGAATTGATTGGGGCAGTTCAAAAGACCTGGTAGACTCAGACTTTGTGATAAAGGCACAATATTCAGAAAGTACCCATGGCAATTCTCTCTCCCTAGAGCCTCCTGCTGTTCCCTTATTCTACCATCCATGGCCATGTAATACTGTCTGGGTAATAATGAATGAATAATGTGGCCCCATTAATGGCACCATCACTCCTTTCACACCCTCTTCACACACAGTCACACCCGCCACAGTCATAGCTGATGTGTGATGAGTGTTCTGGCACCAAATGAGTGCTGTTCATTTGAAGATGAATGGATAACTGATTGTCTTGATAATAAAAGTTGATGCACCTTTTTTATTTTGCGAGGGTTTACCCACCTTTTGCGGAAAAAGGCATTGAAAGTATAGGGTCTGTTACTTTATTAATCGTGAACTGCGATCAGTTTACCTACTATTTAAAAAAACCTCTACATCACTGGATGTGACTGTGGTCAAACTCGTGTTGAGTTGCGTCCAACATTCAGTTTTAGTGTCTCTACGCCCATAGGGAAGACAAGGAACAAGTAGCCAATGTTCCCAAGCTACACCCTGACTGGATGAGGGATGGGACGGGAGTATCTCTACATAGAGGATGGCTGTTCTTCTCTGCTCTGTTTATGACCATTTAGTCATGTCATTCTGGAGCTCTTAGTCACTAGTCAGGCCTGTCCAGAAACAAGCACCAGTCTGGAATTATAATGGAGTTATAATGATGCTGTTTCCTGTGTGTGTGTGTACACTGTAAGTTTGAAGTGCTGCAGGGTAGGTTTGGAATGTCTTGACTTCCTGTCAACTGTGTGTTTGGCCTTAAACTGACCTGCTGCTTCCTGGCTAGAGGCCAGGGGTCTCTCATTTTCTCTCTCTTCCTCTTTCTCTTTCTCTTTCTCTGTCTGTCTGTCTGTCTGTCTGTCTGACTGACTGACTGACTGACTGACACACAGACACACAGACACACACACACACACACACACACACAGACACACAGACACACACACACACACACAGAGACACACACACACTGTTACACTGTTACTGTCCAGAGCTGGTCAATACCTGGGGAGATAACAGGCATTGTAAACCAATCTTTATAGGGTTGATAAGAGCATTTTCTCTGTTCATATTTGGCTTATGCATATTATATTTTCAGCTCAATAATGAGCATCATAATGAATTGCATGTCATTTTTGTGAACTTAATGAAATCTATTAAGACCTATTCTGTGTCTTGTGTCTCCCAGGCCTCGGCCTCAAGGTGGGGCAGAGCAAAGTGGGTGGTGGGGCAGGAAGGCCCAGCCCCCCATCCTGACAAGAGGCCAGCTTCTGCTCCAGTAGCCCATAGCCCCTTCAGGACCGAGCAGGGACCATGAGCACAGGCAAGCCCAGTGGAATCAAGCCTCCCAGCAAGATAAGCAGGCCAACTGGGTTACCAACACGCACCTCCCCTTCTTCTGGTAAGAATCAGCTGCAGGGCTCATTGTGTGTGTGTGTGTGTGTGTATGTGTGTTGTTGCTGCTACTACTGCTGATGATGATGATTGTTTTTCCAGCTGCTCCAAAGCCTGTTCCTCCTGAGAATTCTCCCACCCAGGATGGAGCAATGGATTACCAGGTGGGGGAGAAGGTGTGGGTCAACGGCAACAAGCCAGGATACGTCCACTTCCTGGGGGGCACGCAGTTTGCCCCAGGTCAGTGGGCCGGCATCGTCCTGGAGGAGGCCATCGGAAAGAACGACGGGTCGGTGGCGGGGGTCCAGTACTTCCAGTGCGAGGATGGCAGAGGTATATTCACACGGCCCTCCAAGCTGACCAAGACAGCCATGCCAGAGATGGAGGCCAACTGTGGACAGCCTAACCCTGGCGAGACAGGAGCAGACTCCCCTACCATTGCTGCTGCTGGGGCTGCTACTACCACTGGTAACAGCACCAAGACACCGCTGAGTAGAACCGTGACGGGCAGTGGGTCAGTGTCCAACCTCTCTGAGACGGACTCAGCCAAGAAGACCAGAAGTGAACTGAGACTGGGAGACCGCGTGCTGGTGAGTGTGTGTGTGTGTGTGTGCTTCTGGCTCACAAATGTGTTAACTCACAGCTCTTGTTCCTTCTCTACCCCCTCCCTCTCTATCTCTCCGTCTTTCTCCCTCTCCAGGTGGGGGGTAATAAGGCAGGGGTGGTGAGGTTCATGGGGGAGACAGAGTTTGCCAAGGGGGAGTGGTGTGGAGTGGAGCTGGACGAACCACTTGGGAAGAATGATGGAGCCGTGGCTGGATCCAGGTTAGATATGTGACACACAGGTTTATTATCCGTGGTTAAAGATGTACCTGTAGAAAAAGTATTTTTAAAATAATGATAACGATTAAAAACATGTCCTTCTCTAATGATTCAAGTGTCATGCAATTCAGTGGTTAAAGCTTGACCTGTATAGAGATAGTCTTAAAAATTATATGTATTAAGAATCTGTCTTTTTCATATAATTCAGGTGTGTTCTGGATTTTTGACATCCTCTGATATCCCTTTCAAATGTCTCCAGGTATTTCCAGTGCCTGCCGCGGTACGGCCTGTTTGCGCCGGTCCACAAGGTGACTCGTATCGGCTTCCCCAGCACCCTGGCTAAAGCCAAGGCCTCCTCACGGAGACGCTCCGCCATGAAGAGGAGTCCTAGCGCCTCCTCCATGAGCTCCCTGAGCTCTGTCACGTCCTCTGTTAGTGGGAAACCCAGCCGTGCTGGCCTGGTGAGACACACACATACACGCTACTGCAAATACACACACACACACACACACACACACACACACACACACACACACACACACACACACACACACACACACACACACACAGACACACAGCGTTCTCTATCTTCTCCCTGCACTCTCTTCTCTCTACTTGTGTCTGTCTTATCTGAATGTGCCCTCTCTATCTCTTGCCCTCTAGCTGACCGAGACCTCGTCGCGGTATGCACGTAAGATCTCTGGCACTACAGCGCTACAGGAAGCCCTGAAGGAGAAGCAGCAGCACATCGAGCAGCTATTGGCCGAGAGGGACATGGAACGCGGGGAGGTCGCCAAGGCAACCAGCCATGCTGGGGATGTGCAGCAAGAACTGTCACTGCTCACGAATGTTCAGGAGCAGGTGAGGGGAGAAAGCACAGGCAACACACACACACACACACACACACAGAAAAATACAATACACATGTGGAATATCCGTCTCCCACCCAGGCTTTATGTAGTTGACCATTGAAAAGTATGACCTATAGCAAACCATGTCATGTCATGATTGTGTGTGTTTGTGTGTGTGCGTGCGCACATGTGCGTGCGTGTGTGTTAGTATGCTATGGAGATGGAGGCTAAGCTAGACCAACTGCGTAAACTGGTGGAGACGGCAGACAGAGACAAGGTGGAGCTGCTTAACCAACTGGAGGAGGAGAAGAGGTGGGTGGTGGTGTGTGTGTGTGTGTGTGAGGGAGGGAGGGTAATGAGAATTGTAGTAAATGGAGGGGGTATATTGGTTGGTTAGGTCAGTATTGTTCTCTATGTTAGTATTTGAATGTGCATCGTTTGGAAAGCATTGCTGTTTTTAGATGCCTGGTATGGGATAGAGCCTGGGATGTTGGAGGAGAGGATGACACTTTCTACCTGTCTGACAGGAAAGTGGAAGACCTGCAGTTCACTGTGGAGGAAGCTTGCATCACTAAAGGTGACCTAGAGGTAAATAAATGATTCAGTACTCTGTACACACACACACCTGCTAACAGAACCCAGACAGTGTTATTTTACATAATGAAATACCACGTAGAGCTGATGTAATGTTGTTACACAGTTGTTAGACCTTTCATATTTCAACCCCTCATGAAACACTGATGCAGAATTCCTTCATATCAGCTACTTCATTTGGTCTATCATATACATCATTCCCTCATCTGTACTGTGTCATGACTCAATGTCTTGTTCTATGGCACACCCTTTATACACTCAGAGAACAATGCTGGGTGTGTATAAAATATAGATTCACCAGTTGACCACGGCTCTCTCGTCATCTCTCATTGGTTAGCTCAAGTTCTCTCACTCATCTGATTGGTTACCTGAAGCTCTCTCACTCTCATCCGATTGGTTAGCTTAAAATCTTTCTCATAGTCTCTCTTCGATATAGCTACTTCATAAATGTCCTCTACTCTGTCAGAGTTCCGGTTCAGTAGCTCCAGCAGTTTGAGGATGTGCTTCTTTTTACCCGTATTCTCAACCCACTACAGTGTACATGTTGGCATGGTGGTGAGTTCATTGTACTCACAATACTCTGCTTTTGATTGTGGCTTTTGCTGCTGTATTAATAAAGATACTGATGATATTCTCAATAATTCTATCAAGGCTTTTGGTTATCCACACATTCTTTCATTCATTCAATTCAATTCTTCATCTGATCATCTATTCCTTTAATGTCGTTCATTTCTCAGCTCTCATCAATTCACTCATTCATGAGTTCATTCATTTGTTTTCTTTCGCTATTTCATTTGCTCAAGTTTCTTCCGCCCAGTACCCTACCCTGAACTTTAGTCACTGTTACTAGCCGGCGACCACCTGGTAGTCAACCCTGCACCTGAGAGACTGCTGCCCTATGTACATAGTCATTCAACACTGGTCACTTTTTAAAACTTTTTTTTTTTTAATCACATTTTTAGATTTTTTGTAATATTTATTTTGTGGTATCCAATTGGTAGTAGTTACAGTCCCTGTCCCATCGCTGCAACCCCCGTACGGACACGGGAGAGGCGAAGGTCGAGATTCATGCGTCCTCCGAAACACAACCCAACCAAGGAAGCCAGCCGCACCAATGTGTAGGAGGAAACACCGTACACCTGGTGACTGAGTCAGCGTGCACTGCGCCCGGCAGGGGTCGCTATAGCGCGATGGGACATGGACATCCCTGCCGGCCAAACCCTCCCCTACCCTGGACGACGCTGGGCCAATTGTGCGCCCATTATTCTTTTCAACATTCTTCAAGCTCTGTCAAATTGGTTGTTGATCATTGCTGGACAACCATTTTCAGGTCTTGCAATAGATTTTCAAGCAGATTTAAGTCAAAACTGTAACTTTGCCACTCAGGAACATTCACTGTCTTCTCGGTAAGCAACCCCAGTGTAGATTTGGCCTTGTGTTTTAGGTTATTGTCCTGCTGAAAGGTGAATTCATCTCCCAGTGTCTGGTGGAATGCAGACTGAACCAGGTTTTCCTCTAGGATTTTGCCTGTGCTTGCTCCCTTCAGTTTAATTTTTTATCCTGAAAAACTCCCCTGTCCTTAATGATTACAAGCATACGAGTAACATGATGCAGCCACCACTATGCTTGAAAATATGGAGAGTGGTACTCAGTAATGTGTTGTATTAGATTTGCCCCAAACATAACACTTTGTATTCAGGACAAAAAGTGAATTGCTTTGCCACATTTGGTGCAGTATTTATTACTTTAGTGCCTTGTTGCAAACAGGATTCATATTTTTGAATATTTTTATTCTGTACAGGCTTGCTTCTTTTCACTCTGTCAATTAGGTTAGTATTGTGGAGTATCTACAATGTTGTTGATCCATCCAGTTTTCTCCTACCACAGCCATTCAACTCTGTAACTGTTTTAAAGTCACCATTGGCTTCATGGTGAAATCCCTGAGCAGTTTCCTTCCTCTCCGGCAACTCAGTTAGGAAGGACGCCTTTCTCTTTGTAGTGACTGGTTGTATTGATTTTTTTTTTCATCTACCAATAGGTGCCCTTCTTTGCGAAGCATTGGAAAACCTCCCAGGTCTTTGTGGTTGAATCTGTATTTGAAATTCACTGCTCGACTGAGAGACCTTACAGATAATTGTATGTTTGGGGTACAGAGATGAGGTAGTCATTCAAAAAAACATGTTAAACACTATTATTGCGCAATAAGCTGGTTGAGAGAATGCCAAGAGTGTGCAAAGCTGTCATCAAGGGTGGCTATTTTGAAGAATCTAAAATCTAAAATATATTTAGATTTGTTTAACACTTTTTTGGTTACTACATGATTCCATATGTGTTATGTCATAGTTTTGATGTCTTCACTATTATTCTACAATGTAGAAAATAGTAAAAATAAAGGAAAACCCTTGAATGAGTAGGTGTGTCCAAACTTTTGACTGGTACTGTATATATACACTATTTATACAAAAGTATGTGGACACCCCTTCAAATTAGTGGATTTGGCCATTTCAGCCCTGCTAGAGCTGCCCGGGTCAACTGTAAGTGCTGTTATTGTGAAGTGGAAACGTCTAGGAGCAACAACGGCTCAGCCGCGAAGTGGTAGGCCACACAAGCTCACAGAATGGAACCGGCAAGTGCTGAAGCACGGGGCGCGTAAAAATTGCCTGTCCTCGGTTGCAACACTTACTACCGAGTTCCAAACTGCCTCTGGAAGCAACGTCAGCATTTGGATTCTGGACTTTGGAGCAGTGGAAAAGCATTCTCTGGAGTGATGAATCACGCTTCACCATCTGGCAGTCCGACGGACTAATCTGGGTTTGGGGATGCCAGGTGAATGCTACCTGCCCCAATGCATAGTGCCAACTAAAGTTTGGTGGAGGAGGAATAATGGTCTGGGGCTGTTTTTCATGGTTCGGGCTAGGCCCTTTAGTTCCAGTGAAGGGAAATCTTAACGCTACAGCATACAATGACATTCTAGACGATTCTGTGCTTCCAACTTTGTGGCAACAGTTTATGGAAGGCCCTTTCCTGTTTCAGCATGACAATGCCCCCGTGCACAAAGCGAGGTCCATACAGAAATGGTTTGTTGAGATTGGTGTGGAAGAACTTGACTGGCCTGCACAGAGCCCTGACCTCAACCCCATCGAACACCTTTGGGATGAATTGGAACACTGACTGAGAGCCAGGCCTAATCGCCCAACATTAGGCCTAACATGCCCGACCTCACGAATGCTCTTGTGGCTGAATGGAATCAAGTCCCCGCAGAAATGTTCCAACATTTAGTGGAAAGCCTTCCCAGAAGAGTGGAGGCTGTTATAGGGGACCAACTCCATATTAATGCCCATGATTTTGGAATGAGATATTCGACAGGCAGTTGTCCACATACTTTTGGTCATGTAGTGTATATGTGTGTGTATATATATATATATATATATATATTTATCAGGGGATGCTGCAGCACCCTCAGCACCCCTACTTCCCAGCGGCTATGCTGACATTGCTCGTTGTAATATTTCTAGATTTTTTAAATTCCTTTCTTAAATTATTTGTGTTTTTCGTGTATTGTTCAGTATTACTGCACTGTTGGAGCTAGGAACATAAGCATTTCGCTACACACGCGATAACATCTGCAAAATATGTCTACGCGACCAATCAAATTAGATTTTTACATTCTTGTTTTTTCTTCATTTTTTCCATCCTTCGCCTTCTTATTAAGAGCTCTCTCATCTTTTCTTGACACGTCTCTTCTCTTTTCACATCCTTTCATCTTGTCTCGCCTCCGCACCCTCTCTTCTCCTTGCTCATGAAGAGGATGATGTCACAAAGCCTTCATCTATCTCTCTCTCTCTCTCTACCTCCCTCTGGCGCTTACAGAAGAGAAAGAAGGATAAAGCGATGATGTCACTGATTGCAAGATCTCGTCAAGAAAGTGTTAGAGCACTGGGAACCAAAGTGAAGAGAACCGAATCCACCAGATGGAGCGGTCCTTAAAATAGATCCAAGCAGATCCATAAATACACTAGACAGAGTTTGGCAAACTCAATTAATCCAAGTTGCCAGACAAATGCTTAGAATGATTAGAACTTAATCTTCATTTAGCTCTTGGAGCCAACATGGAGGCTAGTTAGCAAAACTCTGTGACTCAACCAACCAAAGACCCAAACAGAGGTAGTTAGGGTGGGGCTCAGTCTCATAGAGGAGAACTTAAGCGGCATTCAGGCTGTCTCAAATGGCACAATATTCCCTATATGTCTCTTTTTATATGGGTCTGGTCATTGAGGATTTGGCTTAATAGAATTGTTGGAATAGAATGGAACCCACTGGAATAAAACATTTGGCTCTCATATGCACCTCCTACTTTCTGGTCTCTGCTATGACATCATCGTTTGCTATCCTTGTGTGTGGCATGGAGCTGGCATGTGATGCTGGTGTTGGTGTGTTCTCCTCTTCCTCCTCTTCCTCTCTCTGACTAACAGACGCAGACCAAACTGGAGCATGCCCACATTAAGGAGCTTGAGCAGAGCCTTCTGTTTGAAAAGACCAAAGCTGACAAACTGCAGAGGGACTTAGAGGACACTAGGGTAATACCATCATAGACATCATATATCCGACATCATCGGGTAATACTTCTGGATCTAACGGTATTTTACGTTCTGGACACAGTAGGGTTGGGCGATATGTTGTGTGGATGAATCATTAATTGCGATATGGCTGTGCGCGGTATATTGTCTAGTTATTGCGATATCGATGTCCACAATCTTCTGGCCACAGCATTCCACAACGTTTCTTCTGCAAGCCCCAAACCCTCTGGAACTAAAAGCTGTTCTCATGCTGCTGCACTAATGCCTGAGTCTCAACTGCACACTCGTACCTTGCCTTGATACTGTTTTTCATATCGTAAATAAATTATATTGGATTTATTTTGATATGGATTTTTGTCTGGATCGCCCAGTCCTATCTCAAAGAAGCTGGATGGGCTAGGAATGGCCCTCTCTCTACTCTCTCCCCCCTCATTCCCCCCTTTCTTTCTCCCTCCTCTCTTCCCTCCCTCTCCAGGTGGCCACAGTGTCTGAGCGGTCCAGGATCATGGAGCTGGAGAGAGAGGTAGTGGAGCTGCAGTTGAGACTACGGTCCTCCCAGCAGACAGAGGGCGCTGTGTCGCTGTCACCAGAGGAGCTCAGCAACCTCAAGGCCCGGGCCCAGTCCCAGGAGAAGAAGGTAGGGATCTCACAGTACTGGTCAAAAAACATCCCCTTAACCCCTCTCCCAGGGATGGGCGACTTCAGTCTTGTACTGCTGTGTGTCCAGGCTTTAGATTGCAGCCGGACTTTGGTTCCAGTCTGTCTGTGCAGGCATTTGTTCCAGCCCGGTCATACCCATAGTCTTTGCATTTACAGACCTCTGGTTTTTCTGGTTTTCCATCCCTTTTGACATTAGCATGTCTCCCGTCTGTCTTCCCCTCTAGATCAGTGAAATGAGTGTGGATCTGGACAACAGGCAGAAACAGATTCGCTCTGTGGAGGAGGACAAAATCTCCCTGGAACAGCAGCTAACCAGCCTGGTGAGACACATGCATACACACACACACTACACACACACACACACACTACACACACTCGTACAGTCATGATGATGAAAGTCATTATCCTTCCCTGTGTAGCTCATGGAGAAAGAATGTTATTGCTCTCTAGTGAAGTTTGTTGTGAAGTTGTTTGTTTGTTGGCCATTTCAGAGACAGAAACTGGACGCTGCAGAGGAAGACAACAAGACGATGGCACAAACCATGCATGGTAACAGACATGCAATAGAAACTTTCCACTGAAAGTTATTGTTTATGAAGAAGTAGGTTTAATCTGGGTTCGGGAAACCAGCCTTATGAGAGGTGCTGGTAAAGATTCATTCTGAAAAGTGAAACTATCTCTCTGACTTTTGTTGCAGAGCTGGAGAAGAGAGTGGAGCAGGCGGGAAAAGAGAGAGAGGCACAGAGAGAAGAGAACCAACGCAAAGAGAAAGAGCTTCAGGATAGACTGACGGAGGTGTGTGTGTGTGTGTTTTCCAGTGTATAATGATAAAGATTATGTTTCTGTCCAATGTGTGTGTGCCTGTATGCGAGCAGGTAAAAATGTGTGTATGCAATGTTTGTAGATGTATGCAAGAAAACAGCAGCTGTGACACACAAAGGTCACAGCATGTTCTTTCATCCAGGCCCGCTGAAGCCGAGCTACATCTCTGAGGCTGAAGCTATAGCTGCAGGCTAGCTTAACGATGTCAACATGAATATATGACTAACACACACACACACAAACACACACACACACACACGAATGTGACTAACCTTTTCCCATGTGACTTTAATATGCAGCGAGGCGTCTCTTTAATGTAATGTTTACGTAATTAAATAAGTTAACTTACCAAAATGCTTATATCGACACATTATTTAATTCAAGTTTCATAACATTTTTGAGAAGCTGTTCTTGTAGATTTAGTCAACTAAATAAAATGATTATTTAGTTGATCATTAGCTTTACAGAATCTATAATGTATTATTAATGGTATGGGTAAAAACTTGCACCTATGGTCTGTTTGTGGCAAAGATCAACAGTTTTAAATCAAAAGTTAGTTATCGATCAAAAACAAATTATATAATTTTGATATATTTACTAAACATGTCCCCTCCCCCAGGCTGCTGAGTTGTCAGAGAGGACCACCAACTCCCTGGAGCATCTGACCAATGAGAAGATGGCGCTGGAGGCTCAGGTGAGGAAAAGGGGGCAGGGCTCAGGTGAAAAGTCAGCTTGTCATATCGCTGATGCAAAGCAGGCTGTAATGTGATAATACGTATACTTATGTAAGCTGTGTGTGTGTGTGTGTGTGTGTGTGTGTGTGGGGCCATGCGCGTGTGTGTCTGTGTGCAGGCTCCCAAGGGCCTTGTACTTCATATTCACTTGAGTATTACAGCATGGATGTATGAGTACTGGTCACCACATAGACCCAGTCATGCATAAAATACTCCTGGACCATCTCTTGTTCTCTCTCTCTCCTAACTTCTCCTTTCTCTACGTGTCTCGCTCTCTTAGATCTTTCTCTCAGTCCCTTGGTCACTTTGTTGGATTATTCTCTCTCTCCATCCATCTCTCTCTCTCTCTCCATCCATCTCTCTCTCTCCATCCATCTCTCTCTCTCTCTCCATCCATCTCTCTCTCTCCATCCATCTCTCTCTCTCCATCCATCTCTCTCTCTCCTCATCCATCTCTCTCTCTCTCCATCCATCCATTTCTCTCTCTCCATCCATTTCTCTCTCTCTCCATCCATCCTCTCTCTCTCCATCCATCTCTCTCTCTCTATCCATCTCTCTCTCTCTCCATCCATCTCTCTCTTTCTCTGTTTACTCTTCATCCTTCTCTCTGTTTCACTCTCTTTCTTCCAATCGATCCATTGCTCTCTATTACCCTCTTTCCGAACATCTCTGGTATTACCGCTCTCTTCCTCATCTCTCTCTTCATCCATCCCCTCTTTCTCTCTCTGTCAATGTAGCTTGTTTGTCATCCTCTCACCCCCCTTCTCTCTGGACATAGTGACCCAGCCAGGCAAGCTGTGTCTGTATGCTCCAGATGGTTAGTCTGATGACTACAGGGAAACAGATTAGTTAGACACACTCTTAATCTATGGAGTGAATTGCTTTGTGAGTGTGAGTGACTGTGGGTGTAGTTTCCAGTTAGATCTGAGCCAGTCCTACTGTTCTACTGTCCTAATCTAGTAATGAACTCTTAGTAACCCTCCCTAATTTCTCTCGCTCACACTTAGTGTTTCCCCTACCGATAACACTACCTAAGCAGGGTGGGACGCCTAGCAAGGCGGGCTATCTAGCCCTGTTGAGTGAAATAATGTGCCTTCACTTGCAGTAGAAACTTTTGATCAGATGCTTCGAAAGCTGCTTTGGGTATTCAGTTTAGCTGCAAAATATATGACTAGTTTAGCCGCAAAATATGACAGAGGCTTTTGAATATTTCTGAGTCTTTTGAATAGGAGGAATAGGAATACTGAACAGAGGCTAAAATGAGAAGTTAAAGAGGTCCATCTTGAAGAGGGATCAGATGAGGTGCTGATGAGATTATAAAAATATTCAAAAAATCCCTTTAAATAGAGAGGCTGTTGGAGAGAAGTGGAGTGCAGTGGTTTTAGTTTTGTGGAGGGTGCTTAGCCACACACACACACCCCACGCACACACTCTCTCTCTCTTGCTCTCTCTCTTCTTGCTTCTTCTCTCTTTTCTTTCCTCTTTCAAGGAGAGAGAGGGAGAGGAGGGCGGAGAGAGGATTTCGTGATACTGTTAGCTCTTGTGCTCGCTCTGCTGTCTCTGGTCTCAAAGGTGCTCTCTCCAAATGTCGTCTCTCGCTGTCGCAAAGCTTGCCTCGAGATCAGATAGTTGAAAGAGCAGAGATGACGAGAGGGGGAGGAGAATCGAGCAGTAAGCGTGAAGGGAAGAGGAGCTTGAGGAGCAGAGTCCATAAGAATGGAGCTCGCGAGTCTACTGGTCTGCTCGAGAAAGAGGGCTAGGGAGTAGAGGACGAAAGGGGATCGAGTTAGAATCTGATCAGAGCTAGCAGGGGCTGATCTGAGATTCTGATTGAGTCAGTTAATCTACTCTCTATGGACGAAGAGGGAAGAAGAGGAGAGAGAGAGGCAGAGGTATGAAGCGATCATGAGATATTAAAAGCGAGAGAGGCTGTAAGGGTATGGTATGCGGGGCGCTCGCCGCACAACGTCGATGAGGACGTCTGAGCTATCATATCTTCAGATAGCTATCTCTCTCTCTGTAGGACGTATCTCTCTCGTCTAGCTATCTCGATCTCTCTTGCTCTCTATCTCTCCGTCTCTCTCTCTTCTCTCTCTCTCTCTCTCTCTCTCTCTCTCTCTCTCTCTCTCTCTCTATCACACTCTAGGCTGTGATGCTCTTACTGCCTCCCCTCCCTCTCCTCTGCACCGGCAGGCGGTGATGTAATCATGCACATGTTAGTGTGAGTCACAGCGGCCGTTTAGGTGTGTGTGCACCATGCATGGCAGAACATTACATTACTTGTACACACTCATATGTAGGATATAGGGCTGTGACGGTCATTGGCCAGGCCAATGTTCACAGTCACCGACATAACCGTTGGGGGGAGGGACAAAAAAGGGGAGGTCACAATTCTGTTAAAACACTTGTTTACATTTTACATTTACGTCATTTAGCAGACGCTCTTATCCAGAGCGACTTACAAATAGGTGCATTCACCTTATGGCCAGTGGGATAACCACTTATGATTATTCAGGTTATTACTTATAAATATGAATCAATAAATTAAGAAATGCCAGGTTGGAGAGGATCTGTCACATTTTCATATTGACACAACATTAACGGAGTCAAAATAAAGATATGCCTACCTTGTCCTTGTCTGTTGGCTTTTCTGCATATAAAAATCATATTTTGACCGATGGAAGTCCGATGGGTTTTCTCCCACTTTTCCCGAAATATTCGCCTTGCGTCACAAACCCTGCTGTTGCGGTCGTTCGATGGCATTGGCTTATGTTCTTCAAAGAGAGGACGCCGTAATGAGATAAATAATGTAGCCTAAGCTACTGAAAACAGGCCTTTTACAATATTAAATCATGACAGGAGCATTTGATTCAGACATGCTACTTAAGGAAACTTTCTGGAAAGCCACCAGCGTATGTCAGACATGAGCAAATATTTATCCTTTGCTTAAAACTTATTTTTAAAAACTAGGCCTACCTTAGGCTTTCTGAAAGTAGGCTATAAGATAATGAATTGACAAGGAAAGTATGAAGGGGACAGCTATGCTATAGTATGGAGATGAAATTGCCAATCATTAAAATAGAAACAAATACACTTGCATCATGTCCATAACCTAGTTATCAGCGACACTGATTACCGAGGGGGAGAGTGTTGGAAAGATTTTTCAAATACTGTGAGGAACTATTATAATATGAATGGATGAAGGAGAAACATTTTTTTGTTGACTTACTGTGTGAGGTGAAGAAAAGTTGACTGAAAAGCCCAGCTGGGCACTTTCCTACATTTTACATTTGCAAGAAACAGGCCAGGTACTTCAATGCGTGCTCAGGCGCACACGCTACATCAACATTAACATGGAGCAGGTAAATGATGGTATGAAATAAATCAAAACTTGTTTCTCACAAGTGTAGCAGGTTGTGAACTCTGCAAATAACATTTCCACTCTGAGAATGAGAACGGTAAATTACTGTAATTAATACATGCATTAACAGAAATCCATGTGACCAAATAACAGGGATAAACTGTGCCTGTTTTACAAACATGGGCATTCATAAAATTGCATTGGGGGCCGACACTGTATAGCCTAGGCTACTGTTCTACTTTGCAGGGATAGGAGAGGGCAATTTTTTGGGTCTTGCCTATGGCAGCATATCGGCTAGGGCCTGATCAGGGTTGATTAGTCTATCAATTGAGAAAAGATTCCTTATCAAATTATACCATGTCAGGTTGGAGAGGATTGATACTTAGTCAATTTTACACAGTATTAGCTCATTACAGGCCTCAGAGCCAGAACAACCTTGTCGACTGCTGTTTAATAAATGATGAATATTTAGACACATACAACCATTTTTAAAAGAAGACAGATTTATTTAATTGTTAGCAAGCAATGAAAATGTGCATTGTATTAAAGAAAGTCAAAGATTATTTGACTGAAGTGTTTAGTTTAGTTTATTAATTCGACCATTTAAAAAAACAATCACACATAAAACGTGGAGGATAACACACAATCAAGTCTGTGGTCCTCTTGAGACAAGATGGCTAGGCAAGATCGTCCACAGTTGTGGCAGTGAGATAATAAAACATAAAAACAAAGAAGAAGAACATCTATCTCATCATTGCAGTTACGGGGGTGTGCGTGCTATAACTATAAGTTAACTATCTACAGTTGAAGTCTGAAGTTTACATACACCTTAGCCAAATACATTTAAACTCAGTTTTTCACAATTCCTGACATTTAATCCTAGTAAAAATCTTAGTCTTAGGTCAGTTAGGATCACCACTTTATTTTAAGAATGTAAAATGTCAGAATAATAGTAGAGAGTGATTTTTTTCAGCTTTTATTTCTTTCATCACATTCCCAGTGGGTCAGAAGTTTACATACACTAAATTAGTATTTGGTAGCATTGCCTTTAAATTGTTTAACTTGGATCAAACGTTTCGGGTAGCATTCCACAAGTTTCCCACAATAAGTTCGGTGAATTTTGGCCCATTCCTCCTGACAGAGCTGGTGTAACTGAGTCAGGTTTGTAGGCCTCCTTGCTCACACACGCTTTTTCAGTTCTGCCCACACGTTTTCTTTAGGATTGAGGTCAGGGCTTTGTGATGGCCACTCCAATACCTTGACTTTGTTGTCCTTAAGCCATTTTGCCACAACTTTGAAAGTATGCTTGGGGTCATTGTCCATTTGGAAGACCCATTTGCGACCAAGCTTTAACTTCCTGACTGATGTCTTGAGATGTTGCTTCAATATATCCACATAATTTTCCTTCCTCATGATGCCATCTATTTTGTGAAGTGCACCAGTCCCTCCTGCAGCAAAGCACCCCCACAGCATGATGCTGCCACCCCCGTGCTTCACGGTTGGGATGGTGTTCTTCGGCTTGCAAGCCACCCCCTTTTTCCTCCAAACATAACGATGGTCATTATAGCCAAACAATTCTATTTTTGTTTCATCAGACCAGAGGACATTTCCCCAAAAAGTATGATCTTTGTCCCCATGTGCAGTTGCAAACCGTAGTCTGTCTTTTTTATGGCGGTTTTGGAGTAGTGGCTTCTTCCTTGCTGAGCGGCTTTTCAGGTTATGTCGATATAGAACTCATTTTACTGTGGATATAGATACTTTTGTACCTGTTTCCTCCAGCATCTTCACAAGGTCCTTTGCTGTTGTTCTGGGATTGATTTGCACTTTTCGCACCAAAGTACGTTCATCTCTAGGAGACAGAATGCGTCTCCTTCCTGAGCGGTATGACGGCTGCGTGGTCCCATAGTGTTTATACTTGCGTACTATTGTTTGTACAGATGAACGTGGTACGTGTCAGGCGTTTGGAAATTGCTCCCAAGGATGAACCAGACTTGTGGAGGTCTACAATTCTTTTTCTGAGGTCTTGGCTGATTTCTTTTGATTTTCCCATGATGTCAAGCGAAGAGGCACTGAGTTTGAAGGTAGTTCTTGAAATACATCCACTGGTACACCTCCAATTGACTCAAATGAAGTCAATTAGCCTATCAGAAGCTTCTAAAGCCATGACATCATTTTCTGGAATTTTCCAAGCTGTTTAAAGGCATAGTCAACTTAGTGTATGTAAACTTCTGACCCACTGGAATTGTGATACAGTGAATTTTAAGTGAAATAATTTGTCTGTAAACAATTGTTGGAAAAATTACTTGTGTCATGCACAATGTAGATGTCCTAACCGACTTGCCAAAACTATAGTTTGTTAACAAGACATTTGTGGAGTGGTTGAAAAATGAGTTTTAATGACTCCAACCTAAGTGTATGTACATTTCCGACTTCAACTGTAAGTGCCATAGCCTATAGCGCTCTACACCCCCGCACATCTAGCACATTAGCTGGTAGAGCATCAAAGGACAGTTGGAAAGAGGAGGAGATGTAGAACATTTAATACACAGACTAAGTTAGTAAAACAATTGCTTATAAACATTAGTAAACACTCCCGCTATTAGGTGAAGTTTATCTAGGCCGACATGAAAATAAAGACAATCAAACAAATGAATGTAGGCCTATTTAAACTGTCTCGTTGATTGAAGGCTCTGACCAAGTTGCAGCGTGGTAGGCGAACATAGTCATTTATTAAATGAACCCAGACAAAACAACAAAATACACACGAACGTAAAGTTCTGCAGGCTACACAGCAACTATACAAAAACAAGATCCCACAAACTAAGGTGGAAAAAGGTTGCCTAAGTATGATCCCCAATCAGAGACAACGATAGACAGCTGCCTCTGATTGGGAACCATACCAGGCCAACAAAAAAAATAGAAAAAATAGAATTCCCACCCAAATCACACCCTGACCTAACCAAATAGAGAAATAAAAGGGATCTCTGAAGTCAGGGCGTGACATAAACGGTTTTGATTATTATTTTATTTTCATGATGGTCTTCATCCATAACCGTCAGTCACAGCCCTAGTAGGATACTGCATATGCAGATATATGTATATATGCAGATGCATATGCTTGTCAGTTATATGAAACAGCAGTATTGGTGATGGCTATTTTATCTCTTTGAAAAGAAACCTATGTGATTGGCTGATCTTTGAGAGGGAAACTGTATGATTGGCTGATCTAAATCTGTGTATGCTCCAGAAACAGAGATGTTGCTAATGGAACTGGAGGGAGGCAACCCTCTTTTTACCTTTATGCAGGGCCATATATAGACATATAATAGAGCCAGATAGATCTACCTTTATGGATCACTACAGTTGACCTTTCAGTAATCCGGTAATACCGTATACCCCGGTATGGTACAGAAACAGTATGACGGTATGAAAATCTGGATACCGCCCAACTGTGTGTGTGTGTCAGAGAGAGAGAGAGAGAGAGAGCAGTAGAAGGTGGGGGTGGGTGAGGGAGGAGGAGCCTGTTGGGACTTACATAATAAAGGCGCTGCTCCTCCCTTTAGTACGCACGACCACATGTGTGTGCCAGCCAGCTAGCTAGTGGGTGTGTGCCCCGGCGACACACACACACACACGCACACCCTCTCTCTCTCCACCCTCTCTCTCTCTGGCGTGCGCTGTAGGGGGTGGGAGCAGATGGTTTATTGATGGGGAGTCTGCGTTAGTGTGGGTGCCACTGGGAGAGAACACTGGGGTAGGATAGGGTACAGTATTGACATTAGGAGAGATAGGGACTGTCCTGCCACTGGGACAGACAGACAGACAGACAGACAGACAGACAGACAGACAGACAGAGACCAGTACTGAGAGAGAGCGAGAGCTCTGACAGAGGACCACACTGTAGGGTAGAGCAGTGTAGGCATGGATGTGGCTGCTCTGCACCAGGGCTATCCAGGCACAATCTACTCCTCTCACAACCAGGTAAACACAGCTGTTATGTTCCTCGCACAGCAGATTTCTTATACGTTTGTGTCATCTTTCAAATGGACTGGTAATGTTTTAGCTATTGTTTTGAGCCTGTATTTCGAGCTGTATTACAGTTGTGTTCTGTTTGGGGGGGATTTGTTCTTGAGTGGTAGTTGAGGGAGGATGGGTGAGGACGATTTGAATCTGAAAGTGCAGGAGGTTACTGATTTAGATGATTGTATTTTTAGGAAGAGATGGTCGTTTGTTGCCTTTGGGACTGGGGATGAGCACTTACGTTTGCTGTCTGGTTGTTTGTATGCCTTCGTGTGTGTGTGTGTGTGTGTGTGTGTGTGTGTGTTTGCTAGTATGCTATGGATATGGAGTCTGTCTTCAGACAGATGTTATTGGATTATCCGGTCTAACATTGCTGTGCTCTTATCCTCTGAGGATACTAGTCTGACATCTGTCACAAACACAAACACTGAAATGTCACAGTGTCAGAGCAGCATCCTCAATCGACTGCTTAAAATCAGGTCATAGAGTACAGAGGTATGTTTCTCTGCATGTTGTGTGCATTTGTTTGTATGTGACACCTCCGTGGAGTAGTTCAGGATTCTGTCATGTAAACCGACTCACTCTTAAGATAGAGGTCTTCACGGGTCCACCTGAATAACCTTTCCCTCGGGTCTGGGTCGGGTCCTGTTTGATTGTCATCAAGTACAGCTCCTGACCATGGCTCTGCATAGACTTTAGCATATTTATTTTACGCTAATAAGGTGATTGTATTTACTTATAGAAGGCCTAGTAAACATATAAAAACCTATTTGTTAACCAGAAGAGCAACTTGGCTGATAAACATTATTCTTTTTTCACTCTGGTCCAATTGGGTTGGGTCTAGGTCTGGTTGTCGTCGGGTCCATTCGGGTTCGGGTCTTATTTGGGTTCGGTTAAACTTTTTGGACCCGAGAAGACCTGTACTCTAAGGTGTCAGAGAGAAAGCATCCTGCATCAGTTACTCACATGTCAACTAGATACAGATACTGTAGAGATGATAATAGCTTTGACAAAATGTTAAACATGCAACACAACACACAGCACATGACTTACAGTAGAGATTGCATTCAGGATTGCACTCCATCTGCCATGGATCAGTTACTCACATGTAAATCCAGATGATTGGAGATACATGTACACTAGAAATATCTCAACTTTATGTTAACATGCAAGCAAACAGACAGCACAGTACATGACTTACCATGGCAATCCATTAGGGAACTGTTTTATTCCGTGCCAGCAGCAGTACTGTAGCAAAGAAAAACATTGATTCAGAAGCCGTGTTTATGTTCAGTAAATTAATTATTGACCATGCATACACGGTCACACGCACAGACATACTGTACTCTGCCACAATGGGACTCTAGTCTAGGGGAAGCATAACAACAGAAGAGGGGTTGTTCATTGCTATTCGACATGTCCTCACTTCTCTGATGGAAATGTCCACTTGTTTACCTAACATCCTTTCGGATGTCAGTATGTCAAGATTTTTCTGTGATATGTTTGCAATGACAAGTATAAGAGTTCATTTGAATTCTAGAACAAAGATTTCGCATTCCAGTAGCTATTTTTATGCCATATTGTTTAGAAGTAGGAGTGGGAGTAAGAACAAACAGAAGGCTTTAAAGGATTTAAAGTTTGACTCATGATTTGAACGCTCATGGTTTGATCCCCCCTGTGATGCTGTCCCTTTAGGAATGAACATTATCTTTGAGTCATTAGCATTATCTCTGCATGGTCTCTAATGCCTCAGAGGAACCATCTCCTCCCTAATGGTGATTTAACTGACGATACCAAGTCTCACATACAGTGTATCTACACATTATATTTTTCTGATGATCTGGGAATAAAGAAACAAAATAATACTTAGTCATGGACGCTAGAAGAAGGGAAATGTCTAGTCAGCTGCACGCATTCAACCGAAATGTGTCTTCCACATTTAACCCAACTCCTCTAAATCAGAGAGGTGCGGGGGGCTGCCTTAACCGACATCATCGGTGCCCGGGAGCAGTGTTTTGGGTGTTAATTGCCTTGCTCAAGGGCAGAACGGACGATTTTTCCAGCTTGGGGATTCAAACCATTGACCTTTCGGTTACTGGCCCAACGCTCTTAACCGCTAGGCTACCTGCCACCCAGGCTAAGTGATTTCATGCCTCACACACTTATGTCTCTGTGCTTATGTTTGGCAGACAGCTTATATGGTGAGTAATGGTGTTGGTCTTTGTGTACTGAGGAAACGGCTGTTCCAGTGGAGCAGCGTAACACAGCAGTGTGTCTTCATGTTAATGTCCGTGACTAAGACTGTTAGAGAAGCGTGAAGAAGAGACGACTTTTATCTGTTTACTGTGTGTCTAAATCTCTCTCTTTTTTCTGTCTCCTTCCCTCCTTTCATCCTTCTTTTCCATCCGTGTATCATCTTCCAGCAGGTGGCGCTGAAACAGCAGAATTCCAAATTCCAGGAGGAACTTAGTCTCTCGCAGGAGCAGAGCAGCTTGGAAAACCAGCGCATCGGAAATCTGTGCAAGGAAATGTGAGTACGACCGAAGGTTATCCTGCTCTTTGGGTGATCTAATTCGTGTATGAATGGCTGAAACCAGCATATTGGAATGTTCAAGGAAATGTTAATGGGATAAATTAGTAGAACTAGAACTAGGAATTCTATGCATGGACTGGTTCTTCAGCTGACACGGTGGCATTCAGCGTTCAAATGATGCATTGACTACAACAGACAACCAACCAACATGTTAGCTTCTTTGGACCCAAAAGACACAGGAGGATTTTATGCTCTGTGGATTTTGAGGTGTTTCAGCGTGTGGTTAAGACCAGCACATCAGAAGTCCGTGAGAGAGAAACGTGAGAGAGGCCCATATCAAAGTCTTACTCAAATAAGACATAGACTCATATAGTTATCTTACTCATGCTGCTTAGTCATACTGATGATGATGATGATGATGATGATGATGATGAGAGAGAGAGAGAGAGAGAGAGAGAGAGAGAGGAGAGAGAGAGAGAGAGAGAGAGAGAGAGAGAGAGAGAGAGAGAGAGAGAGAGAGAGAGAGAGAGAGAGAGAGAGAGAGAGAAATGAATCTGATCTCATGTCTTTGTTATAATGAGCGTCATGCATCACGTAGGGTTCTATTTATAGGTCTGTGTGTGTACATGTTCGTGTGCATGCCTTCATGTTTAACGTGTGTGTGTGTGTAATCACTTTGTCCCGATGTCTCTCCTCTCCTTCACTCATCCCTCTCCTCCTCCATCCTTTTAGAAACAAACATTCCTCTTTCCTTCCGTCCATAAGAGACAGACTAGGGAGTGTTACATAATCACAGCCTCTTCTTCCGTGTGTGTGTGTGTGTGTGTGTGTGTGTGTGTGTGAGCAAGAGCAGCTTTGTGCTGCCAGAGACATCTCGTCTGGGAGAACAGCTGCATCCGACCCAGTCAGTTCTCTGATCTCTTGTGTGTGTGTGTGTGTTTGGCTAGATTGGTCTGTATTGTAGAGTCTATATGTAGCTGGCAGTGGATTAGAGGTGAAATTGGGGTTTTCCACTTGTTATTTTATTCTACAGTATGCTCTCTAAGGAGTAGAGTGCCTTTTCATTCCTGCCGGGTTACAACCTTTGGGAGGGTGTGTGTGTGTGTGTGTGTGTGTGTGTGTGTGCATGTTTGTGCGTGTGTGTGTGTTAAATATCAGCCCGTCATATCACGCTTGGACAGCCTCGGATACAAATGCAAGTTGGTGATATTGATATTTGGCAGTCTGGGCCACGTAAATAGACTTACTGTACGTAGCCTTCAGATTGCAGGCCTGCGAAAGAGTAGAGCAAAACAACTGTCTAGGTACTGCTCTGTTTCAGCCGTTATGGGCAGCCTAGCTGTGTGGAGGAGAAGATACTGCTCTGTTTCAGCTGTTATGGGCAGCCTAGCTGTGTGGAGGAGAAGGTACTGCTCTGTTTCAGCCGTTATGGGCAGCCTAACTGTGTGGAGGAGAAGGTACTGCTCTGTTTCAGCTGTTATGGGCAGCCTAGCTGTGTGGAGGAGAAGGTACTGCTCTGTTTCAGCCGTTATGGGCAGCCTAGCTGTGTGGAGGAGAAGGATACTGCTCTGTTTCAGCTGTTATGGGCAGCCTAGCTGTGTGGAGGAGAAGGTACTGCTCTGTTTCAGTCATTATGGTCAGCCTAGCTGTGTATAGGAGAAGGTACTGCTCTGTTTCAGTCATTATGGTCAGCCTAGCTGTGTATAGGAGAAGGTACTGCTCTGTTTCAGTCATTATGGTCAGCCTAGCTGTGTATAGGAGAAGGTACTGCTCTGTTTCAGCCATTAGCTGTGTGGAGGAGAAGGTACTGCTCTGTTTCAGCCGTTATGGGCAGCCTAGCTGTGTGGAGGAGAAGGTACTGCTCTTTCATATGGCAGCCTAGCTGTGTGGAGGAGAAGGTACTGTTCTGTTTCAGCCGTTATGGGCAGCCTAGCTGTGTGGAGGAGAAGGTTCTGCTCTGTTTCAGCCGATATGGGCAGCCTAGCTGTGTGGAGGAGAAGGTACTGCTCTGTTTCAGCCGATATGGGCAGCCTAGCTGTGTGGAGGAGAAGGTACTGCTCTGTTTCAGCCGGTATGGGCAGCCTAGCTGTGTGGAGGAGAAGGTACTGCTCTGTTTCAGCTGTTATGGGCAGCTTAGCTGTGTGGAGGAGAAGGCACTGCTCTGTTTCAGATGTTATGGGCAGCCTAGCTGTGTGGAGGAGAAGGTACTGCTCTGTTTCAGCCGTTATGGGCAGCTTAGCTGTGTGGAGGAGAAGGCACTGCTCTGTTTCAGCTGTTATGGGCAGCTTAGCTGTGTGGAGGAGAAGGCACTGCTCTGTTTCAGCTGTTATGGGCAGCCTAGCTGTGTGGAGGAGAAGGTACTGCTCTGTTTCAGCCGTTATGGGCAGCCTAGCTGTGTGGAATTTCCTTAAGTATCCTTGCACCAACAATCTTTGAAATGTTTGAATCCTTTATAATGTAATGTGATTTATGGATTCAAATAACGTATTTAAAATGTGTGTGTGTGCTTGCCTGTGACTGATGCTTTAGCGTGTGGTCAATGTGATTAGGCCTCAGTTGAACACACAGATGGTGATTTAGACTGTGCCATTTGTCACACTTACTGAGAGTTAGACATGACCTTTACACTCATCACTACTTAGCCATGACAACCTTTACTGTACACCTGTACCAGCATCACAGCCAAGCAGAGCTACTGTGTGTTGTAAATGGATTGTTATTTATGTATAAATGTGTTATTATTGATGTTGAACACACAATCTGATTGTCCTTTATTAGAAAGTGCCTCTAGATATGAATCATGTTTATTGTTATTGAGTGTCACAAATGTTGACTGACACTGAAAAGCAACTCACCCTCTCTCTCCCTTCTCTCTCCCCCTCACTCCCTTCTCTCTCTCTCCCTCCATCTCTCTTAGTGAGGAACTGAAGCTGGCCAGTAAGAAGTCTCAGTACCAGCCAGACATGAAAGACAGGTAAAACAGTTATTACACATGTATTATATTATTTATAACACAATTTATTATCTGCTGCCTTGGGGAGATGGTTGAGTGTAAACATATTGCGCCATGCATCTACTGCCATGGTACACTTTTATTTTCTATATCCATTAATGATCGGCTTCAGTGTTTCTGATAGTGGAAGAAGCTGGACATGGATAGTGTATAACTACACGTAGTTCAGTCAACTCTCTCTTTGCAATATTGAGGCTGCTGTCCTTTGTTTCGTGAAACCCAATTTATTATAATACAACAGATGGGAGTAGCTCATCATAATCGTCAACAGTGTCCTAGTATAAATCCAGATTCATAAAAACCACAGTTGATTTAGTTAATGTGGTCAGATCCCTTAAAAATGATTATATGGAGTAAATGAGACAGTGAGAGCAGCGGACAGAGACCGATGGGGTTTTAGTGTGATGACAATCAGTCAGTCAGTCTGTACATTTCATCTGTGAGCTCAGAATGGACTCAGGAGTCCAAAAAGCTTGTACACTGTCATGCTTCTATTATCACCTTTTAATATTGACAATAGAATAGTTCCTCCAAAAAATGATTTCCTTTCCTTGCCCTGGAATTTGATTGAATGTGTGTTTGTCTGTAGATATACTGGCTATACTGAAATAAGTGTCTTGAGTGTAGATTTATCTCTCTGTCTGCATGATCAGAGGATTAAGAGATGTCTTTATACAGTGCCGTGAAAAAGTGTTTGCCCCCTTTTTAATTTTCCCTACCTTTGCATATTTTTGATACTGAATGTTATCAGATCTTCAACCAAAACCTAATATTAGATCAAGGGAACCTTAGTGAACAAATAACACAACAATTACATACTTATTTCATTTAGTGCCCCCTGTGTGAACAAGTAATTGCCCCCTTACACTCAATAACTGGTTGTGCCACTTTTAGCTGCAATCACTCCAACCAAATGCTTCCTGTAGTTGTTGATCTGTCTCTCACGTCGCTGTGGAGGAATTTTGGCCCACTCTTCCATGCGGAACTGCTGTAACTCAGCGACATTTGTGGGTTTTCAAGCATGAACTGCTTGTTTAAAGTCCTGCCACAACATCTCAATTGGGATTAGGTTTGGACTTTGAGGCCATTCCAAAACTTCAACTTTGTTGCATTTTAGCAATTTTCATGTAGACTTGTTTGTGTGTTTTGGATCATTGTCTTGTGTCACGCCCTGGCTCTGGGACTCTGTTATGTTGAGCCAGGGTGTGTGGTTTCTATGTGTTTTGTGTGCTAGGGTGATTATCTAGTTCATTTGTTTCTATGTTGGCCGGTGTGGTTCTCAATCAGAGGCAACGTGTATCAGCTGTTGCTTGTTGTCTCTGATTGGGAACCATACTTAGGCAGCCTGTTTTCAACTGTGTGTTGTGGGATCTTGTTCCGTGTATGGTTAGTGTTTGTAACCAAGGACGTCACGTTATCGTTTTGTTGTTTTGTTCGTGTGATCATTCAAATTAAAAGTATGTTCGCATTCCACGCTGCGCCTTGGTCCTCTGTGTATGACGATCGTGACAGAAGATCCCACCATAACTGGACCAAGCAGCGTGTCCAGGAGCCAACGCCAGAGAGGGCTCTAAAGGATATCAACCTCGACTGGGTCAAGCCGCGGGAGGAGGAGAGAGGCTGGACTTGGAAGCAGAGGAGCGAGAGTCTGGCGAGAGCCATGGAGGCCTGGCCCACGGGGAGGAGAGACGGCCAGAAATGTTTTAGGGGGGGGGCTCACGCCGTGGACGACGGGGCAGCAGGAGGCCAGGATAGAGTGGTTCAGCGGGTTGGCAAAGGAGGCCGCCAGGTTACGGGAGTCACTGGTCACCAGGGGGAAGGAGAATGTAGAGGCACGGCGAGAGGTACTGGGGTGTGTTGCCAGTCCGGTCCGTCCCGTTCCTGATCCCCGCGTAGGGCCAGTGGTGTGTGTCCCCAGTACGGTCCGGCTTGTTCCTGTCCCTCGCACCGAGCCTGTGGTGCGCGTCGCCAGCCCGGTCCGGCATGTTCCTGCCCCTCGCACCAAGCCTGTGGTGCGCGTCGTCAGCCCGGTCCGGCCTGTTCCTGCTCCCCGCACCAAGCCAGTGGTGCGCTTCGTCAGCCCGGTTCGGCCCGTCCCTGCTCCCCGCACCAAGCCTGTGGTGCGCGTCGTCAGCCCGGTTCGGCCCGTCCCTGCTCCCCGCACCAAGCCAATGGTGCGCGTCGTCAGCCCGGTCCGGCCTGTTCCTGCTCCCCGCACCAAGCCAGTGGTGCACTTCGTCAGCCCGGTTCGGCCCGTCCCTGCTCCCCGCACCAAGCCAATGGTGCGCGTCGTCAGCCCGGTCCGGCCTGTTCCTGCTCCCCGCACCAAGCCAGTGGTGCGCTTCGTCAGCCCGGTTCGGCCCGTCCCTGCTCCCCGCACCAAGCCAATGGTGCGCGTCGTCAGCCCGGTCCGGCCCGTCCCTGCTCCCCGCACCAAGCCTGTGGTGCGCGTCGTCAGTCCGGCACAGCCCGTGCCTGTTCCACCGGTGCCTGGTCCGGCACCGGTCAGCTGTTCCACTCCGGAGCAATCCGCTCCACCAGTGTTCAGTCCAGCTCCGGCCAGCAGGGCCAGACCTGACCAGGGGCGCTTTGGGGGGTTTGTTGGAGGGTGGGGGTCAAGCCCGGAGCCGGAACCGCCTCCGAGGAGGAATGCCCACCCGGCCCTCCCCTGTTCGGTTTATGTTTGGCGCGGTCGCAGTCCACGCCTTTGGGGGGGGGGTACTGTCACGCCCTGGCTCTGGGACTCTGTTATGTTGAGCCAGGGTGTGTGGTTTCTATGTGTTTTGTGTGCTAGGGTGATTATCTAGTTCATTTGTTTCTATGTTGGCCGGTGTGGTTCTCAATCAGAGGCAACGTGTATCAGCTGTTGCTTGTTGTCTCTGATTGGGAACCATACTTAGGCAGCCTGTTTTCCACAGTGTGTTGTGGGATCTTGTTCCGTGTATGGTTAGTGTTTGTAACCAAGGACGTCACGTTATCGTTTTGTTCGTGTGATCATTCAAATTAAAAGTATGTTCGCATTCCACGCTGCGCCTTGGTCCTCTGTGTATGACGATCGTGACATCTTGCTGCATGACCCAACTGCGCTTCAGCTTCAGGAATTATCCTGTAGAATTCTCTGATACAGAGCAGAACTCATGGTTCCTTCTATTATTGTAAGTCGTCCAGGCACTGAGGCAGCAAAGCATCCCATGTCATCCAAAAAGTTGACTCAGGTTTTGCCAAAAAGCACCTGGATGATCATCAAGACTCTTGGAAGAATGTTCTATGGACAGCTTATTAAAAAGTATATGTTTTTGGACAACATGGCGAAAACCAAACACTGCATTCCACAGTAAGAACCTCATACCAATGGTCAAGCATGGTGGTGGTAGTGTGATGGTTAGGGGTTGCTTTGCTGCCTCGGGACCTGGACAACTTGCCTTAATAGAGTGAACCATGAATTCTGCTCTGTATCAGAGAATTCTACAGGAGAATGTCAGGCCATCCGTCTGTGAGATGAAGCTGAAGCGCAGCTGGGTCATGCAGCAAGACAATGATCCAAAACACACAATCAAGTGTACATGAAAATGTCTAAAAAGCAACAAATAATACGTTTTGGAATGTCAAAGTCCAGACCTAATCTCAATTGAGATGTTGTGGCAGGACTTGAAACGAGCAGTTCATGGTTGAAAACCCACAAATGTTATTTGTAAACTCAGGTTCCCTTTATCTAATATTAGGTTTTGGTTGAAGATCTGATAACATTCAGTATAAAAGAATATGCAAAAATATAGAAAATCAGAATCATACTTTTTCACAGCACTGTATATCCCTTCACTAACACTAGTAATGAGAGGAGATGGAGGGAAGGAATGAAAGGAGAGGAATGGTGGAGGGGAAGGGAGGAGGGCAGAGGAGATAGAGAAGAATATGGGGTGGAGAAGAGAAGAGAGGAGAGGAAATGGGAGGAGACAAGAGGGGCAGAATAGGAGAAAGGTTACTTAAGCCAGAGGGAGATGATGAGAGCCTGAGGAAGGTTATGTAGAGCAGAACTAATCAGTCAGGAGAGATCAGTGGATAACTACCTGTTCAGGTGAATGTTTCACAGATAGTAGCCGTTAATTCAGCAGCACTAATCCCTAGAAAAGTAGGCTATATATCTAGACTAGCATCTGTAGTACAGACTTTGTTTAGGGGAAGACATCCAAGCTACATCTGTTGTGATTAAGGTTGTTGTTCCATGTGGTTGTATTGGATCATGGGACCCAGACAGGCTAATGCCATCAACCTTAGGGGTCCACAGACAGGTTATCTGACTCATGCTGCTGCTGGGGCCTTTGTTGTCAAGTTGTATGTCAACATCTGGATTTGTGGTGTTCTTTCAAACTTTGTCCCTAAACGTCCTAATGTTGTGAGTGAGAATGAGCTAGCTTCACTAGTCTTTAGTGAAGCTTATTCCACCGCCTTGAGTATCACTACTATTGTGTGAAGTACTATATTATTTATTGTAAATCAAAAGTTAAACACATTGTGTGACATTCTCAGTCAGAGATCTTCATCAGACAGAAGTTTCTCACTGTACCCATAGAGACATGTATGGGTGCACACACAGTATTGCACTGCTCCTGCCAGTCCCAGTGTGGGTGTGTGTGTTCTGTATTTAGCAGTTCTCTGCCTCTGTTCCTCCCCAGGGAAACTCTGTCCAACCAGGTGACAGGGGAGGAGAGAAACTTCCAGAAGACAGATAAGGACAAGGAGCTGGAGAATCTGAGGAATGAGGTAAATAGTCACAAACAACTCTAGCAGACTCTGGGCCTTTTGATGAAGAAATGAAGAAAACTTGCATTGGGTCCTATGCTTTTTCTCTGGACTGGCATACAATGGCTGTAACTCTATATTGGCTGAAACCTGTCTCTCTCTCCCTGTAGATTGCGGTGCTGCGAGGTGAGAACGCCATGGCCAAGATGCTGCAGTCTGCCGTGGAGGCGCTGGAGAGAGACAAGTCCCAACTACAGGGATGTGTCACTAGCCTTGAGCAGAGGCTCATGGGACAGCAGGCCTCCGAGGGAGGGGACAGTGGAGTGCCTTCCTCAGGTGACGCAGCTCTGGACCAGCTGAGAGAAGAGAAGGAGTTTGCAGAGGGACAGGTATGATTAGCAATTAGTATTAAAATTGCATCATCTGCTTGTCATTTATACAGGAAATAATTTGCATAGATAGATATCCGCACTTCCACCATTGTCTCACAGTCCACCTCACTCTTTCTTATATAAACTTGACTGTGGTCTCTCTTTCGTCTCTCCCTCCATATATTTGCCTCCTTCAGATTAACTTCCTGAACAGTGTGATCGTGGACCTGCAGAGGAAGAACGAGGAGTTGAAGGTGAAGCTGAAGAAGATGGTTCTTGCTGAGTTCAACGGCAACGACGGCACTGACGGGTCAGTCTTATAACCTATAACCTCTGAACCCTAACCTTAGCCCTTTTAGTTACAGTTGTTGACAGACCCGTCAAAATGCACTATTGCAAAATCCCTAATCTCTCTCTCTGTCTCTAGTTTTGAAGAGGGTGGATCTAAGAAGGACAAGAAGGCTCCTCCTCGTCTGTTCTGTGATATCTGTGACTGTTTCGACCTCCATGACACCGAGGACTGTCCCACCCAGGCCCAGAGCCCTGACTCAGTGCCCCACTCTTCCTTCAAGGGCAAGCCCGCCGACCAACGGCCATACTGCGACATCTGTGAGGCCTTTGGTCACTCCACAGAGTCCTGCCAGGACGACCAGACCTTCTAGACACACTCCCACCAACAGTATCCCTCCCCTGCAAGGCCCTAGCTTAGGTCCAGGCCCTGCACAGACAGCCAAACACCGACCAGACTCTCTCTGGGTTTTTGTATCGTATTTATGTACGTCACTCACTGTCATAGTCCACTTAGATAACTCTAAATCCCGCACTACGTAAGACTCTCCTACTACTTCTACTACTTCCTCACTCTAACTCTTCTCCTCCCTCTCCTCCCTCTCATTTTACATTACATTTTAGTCATTTAGCAGACACTCTTATCCAGAGCGACTTACAGGAGCAATTAGGGTTAAGTGCCTTGCTCAAGGTTACATCGATAGACTTTTCACCTAGTCGCTCGGGGATTCGAACCAGCAACCTTTCGGTTACTGGCCCAACGCTCTTAACTGCTAGGCTACCTGCCGCCTCTCCTCTCTCTCTAACTCTCCTTTCCTCTCTCTCTCTCTCCTTTCCTCTCCTCTCTCTCACTAACTTTCCTCCCTCTCCCTAACTCTCCCTAACTCTCCTCCCTCTCCTCTCTCTCACTAACTTTCCTCCCTCTCCCTAACTCTCCTCTCTCTCACTAACTTTCCTCCTCTCCCTAACTCTCCCTAACTCTCACTAACTTTCCTCCCTCTCCCTAACTCTCCTCCCTCCCTCTAACTCTCCTCTCTCTCACTAACTCTCCTCCCTCTCCCTAACTCTCCCTAACTCTCCTCCCTCTCTCTCTCTCTAATTCCCTCTCCTACATCTAGAGATATGCTTATGTGGTGTAATATCCATGTTAGGAACTAAAGGAATCAGTCTTCTGTTATTAATTCATAAAGGAAACATTATGTTATTAGTTCATTCTTTTATGTTTTTAATTCTGTTTTTATATACAGCAAGGGTTGAGTTTTGACTTCAGTTCTTAAGGGAACTAAACTTCCTATATGTAACCGGGCAAGAGGGAAGGCATTTGATGATGCAGACGTACGTGTGGTGAAGGGCCTGGATGCACCAGACTGGTTCACTGCTAATAGCACTATTCATGATTAATGTTTCTCTTAACACATTCCTGTCTTTCTCATGTCACATTCCGAGTCAGTGTGCTGTCTCCAGGCCCTGACATGGACCCTTTTATTTATTTATTTTACCCTTATTTTACCAGGTGAGTTGACTGAGAACACATTCTCATTTACAGCAACGACCTGGGGAATAGTTACAGGGGAGAGGAGGGGGTGATGAATGAGCCAATTGGAAGCTGGGGATGTCCACTCCACAAAGGGAACAAGGAAATACCACAGGACACACAGTCTACCTGTACTACCAGGTTGTGTTCAGTAGGCACAAAATGGTAAAGAACATTTTGGAACTGAGGAGGTATTTTGGGAAATTCTCCACAAACGCACATTGTTTTCATGCCTACTGAACATCAACCTGGTGCTAGTTGCAGGCGCTCATCCAAACTAAAGCAACCAAACGCCAGCCACTTAACTTATTGTTGCACTACTCACTTTAAAACTCCCTCTTAGAATACAGGACACACTTATAAACTGCCATGCTAAATCAAAAAACGAAGTTATTGATTTTATAAGAAATGTCGAGACAGAATAGTACCTAGTTACTGTCACCTTTTATGTGCTGCCTATGTATTTTATGTATTGTCTTTTAAAAACTGTACCTGTCCTGTATAGATATGCGTGTACTAGAGCTATGTACTGAAGCACACAGTTTGGATCATATTGAATCTCCCAGTGTAACAAAGATATGTATGATATATCTATGTGACTAACCAATGACACCGGTCTTTGTAAATACCCATCAGAAGTTTTCTGAAAAACTAAATGTGCACAAGGTGCCATGGAAACAAAAAGGATATTTACGTGTATTTTATTTTTCTGTTCAGTTGATTGACTGACCTGTACGTTGTATGATAACGATGTACCGACTCCAGGGAACAAACTTAACGCACTTGTAATGATGTTATTAACTCCATAAGCATATTGTGGACTCTTTACTAGGTCACGTGACTGTTTAGTGCACTGTTTTCGATGTTTCAAATAACGTTAAGGCATCGTCTATAAAGGCTTTATAAAGGGTTTGTTAATTGGTCAACTGTTATAAACCCTTTACAGATGAGGACCCTAATGTAAAGCGGTACTGGTTTTCTATGTTCTGTACAACAAATACAATAAAAACAAATACTCTAGCTGTAGAATGTTGATTTCCTCTTATCATCATCTGATGATGTAAGCTATAGTCCAACAATCTATCAGTAGAGTTCTGGGGTTTTCACATAGCCTATCAGAGGGCAAGGTGGAACAAACAACCATATTGCTTATACCTATCCAACCCATCCTTTCAGATCTACATGGAGTGTCCAGTGGGTAGTAGGGATTGTTTCTGGACAAGACTCCTCTCTGCTCAGCCCCCCAAACCAAAGCCACCAGCCCCCCCACCCCCCCCCCCCACCCCAGGCTGTTTCCATCTCACAGACCAATAAGTACAAGAGCTGCTCATAATTAATTCATCCCCAGATACATTACCCCTGACAGGACTAGGGGAACTGAAATAACCCTCTCCATTTTTCATGAGTTCCCCTCAAACACAACAGAAGGAAAATAGTTTCACGAAAAAACAGGCCCCTAAAAGAGAAGGGATGTGTTTGAATGCAAACTGAAAGCCAGCTGCTACCTCAGATTGCCTTCCCTTTAAGTCTTATGTGTTTCTCATTGGAGTACAACAAAGCATATGCATTAGGAGGATAAATCTGCAGACCTCAATCCAAAATGAGTGAGAAGAATTGGTTCTTTAGACATACACTACCGGTCAAAAGTTTTTGGGCACCTACTCATTCAAGGGTTTTTCTATATTGTAGAATAATAGTGAAGACATCAAAACTATGAAATAACACATATGGAATCATGTAGTAACCAAAAAATTGTTTAACAAATCAAAATATATTTTATATTTGAGATTCTTCAAATAGCCACCCTTTGCCTTGATGACAGCTTTGCACACTTGGCATTCTCTCAACCAGCTTCATGAGGTAGTCACCTGGAATGCATTTCAATTAACAGGTGTGCCATCTTAAAAGTTAATTAATGCGTTTGAGCCAATCAGTTGTGTTGTGACAAGGTAGGGGGGTATACAGAAGATACAGTGGGGAAAAAAAGTATTTAGTCAGCCACCAATTGTGCAAGTTCTCCCACTTAAAAAGATGAGAGAGGCCTGTAATTTTCATCATAGGTACACGTCAACTATGACAGACAAAATGAGAAAAATAAATCCAGAAAATCACATTGTAGGATTTTTTATGAATTTATTTGCAAATTATGGTGGAAAATACGTATTTGGTCAATAACAAAAGTTTCTCAATACTTTGTTATATACCCTTTGTTGGCAATGACACAGGTCAAATGTTTTCTGTAAGTCTTCACAAGGTTTTCACACACTGTTGCTGGTATTTTGTGTTTGGGATCATTGTCATGCTGAAAGACCCAGCCACGTTTCATCTTCAATGCCCTTGCTGATGGAAGGAGGTTTTCACTCAAAATCTCACGATACATGGCCCCATTCATTCTTTCCTTTACACGGATCAGTCGTCCTAGTCCCTTTGCAGAAAAACAGCCCCAAAGCATGATGTTTCCACCCCCATGCTTCACAGTAGGTATGGTGTTCTTTGGATGCAACTCAGCATTCTTTGTCCTCCAAACACGACGAGTTGAGTTTTTACCAAAAGGTTCTATTTTGGTTTCATCTGACCATATGACATTCTCCCAATCCTCTTCTGGATCATCCAAATGCACTCTAGCAAACTTCAGACGGGCCTAGACACGTCTGGCACTGCAGAATTTGAGTCCCTGGCGGCGTAGTGTGTTACTGATGGTAGGCTTTGTTACTTTGGTCCCAGCTCTCTGCAGGTCATTCACTAGGTCCCTCTGTGTGGTTCTGGGATTTTTGCTCACTGTTCTTGTGATCATTTTGACCCCACGGGGTGAGATCTTGCGTGGAGCCCCAGATCGAGGGAGATTATCAGTGGTCTTGTATGTCTTCCATTTCCTAATAATTGCTCCCACAGTTGATTTCTTCAAACCAAGCTGCTTACCTATTGCAGATTCAGTCTTCCCAGCCTGGTGCAGGTCTACAATTTAGTTTCTGGTGTCCTTTGACAGCTCTTTGGTCTTGGCCATAGTGGAGTTTGGAGTGTGACTGTTTGAGGTTGTGGACAGGTGTCTTTTATACTGATAACAAGTTCAAACAGGTGCCATTAATACAGGTAACGAGTGGAGGACAGAGGAGCCTCTTAAAGAAGAAGTTACAGGTCTGTGAGAGCCAGAAATCTTGCTTGTTTGTAGGTGACCAAATACTTATTTTCCACCATAATTTGCAAATAAATTCATTAAATATCCTACAATGTGATTTTCTTTTCTCAATTTGTCTGTCATAGTTGACGTGTACCTATGATGAAAATTACAGGCCTCTCTCATCTTTTTAAGTGGGAGAACTTGCACAATTGGTGGCTGACTAAATACTTTTTTCCCCCCACTGTAGCCCTGTTTTTATTAAAAGACCAAGTCCATATTATGGCAAGAACAGCTCAAACAAGCAAAGAGAAATGACAGTCCATCATTACTTTAAGACATGAAGGTCAGTCAATACGGAACATTTCAAGAACTTTGAAAGTTTCTTCAAGTGCAGTTGCAAAAACCAAGAGCTATCATGAAACTGGCTCTCATGAGGACTGCCACCTCTGCTGCAGAGGATCAGTTCATTAGAGTTACCAGCCTCAGAAATTGCAGCCCAAATAAATGCTTCACAGAGTTCAAGTAATAGACACATCTCAACAGCAACTGCTCAGAGGAGACTGTGTGAATCAGACCTTCATGGTCGAATTGCTGCAAAGAAACCACTACTAAAGGACACCAATAATATGAAGAGACTTGCTTGGGCCAAGAAACACAAGCAATGGACATTAGACCGGTGGAAATGTGTCCTTTGGTCTGGAGTCCAAATTGAAGATTTTTGGTTCCAACCACCGTGTCTTTGTGAGCCATGGTGTGGGTGAACGGATGATCTCTGCATGTTTATTTCCCACCGTAAAGCATGGAGGAGGAGCTGTTATGATGTGTGGGTGCTTCGCTGGTGACGCCGTCTGTGATTTATTTAGAATTCACACTTAACCAGCATGGCTACCACAGCATTCTGCAGCGATACGCCATCCCATCTGGTTTGGGCTTAGTGGGACTATCGTTTGTTTTTCAACAGGACAATGACCCAACACACCTCCAGGCTGTGTATTTTACCAAGAAGGAGAGTGATGGAGTGCTGCATTAGATGACCTGTCCTCCACAATCCCCTGACCTCAACCAAATTTAGATGGTTTGGGATGAGTCGGACCGCAGCGTGAAGGAAATGCAGCCAACAAGTGCTCAGCATAAGTGGGAACTCCTTCAAAACTGATGGAAAAGCATTCCAGGTGAAGCTGGTTGAGAGAATGCCAAGGGTGTGCAAAGGGTGGCTATTTGAAGAATCACTTTTTTGGTTACTACATGATTCCATGTGTTATTTCATAGTTTATGTCTTCACTATTATTCTACAATGTAGAAAATTGTAAAAATAAAAACCCTTGTATGAGTAGCTGTTCTACAACTTTTGACCGGTAGTGTAATTCAAACAGAAAGAAAAATACAGAAACTTACCTGACTATGTTGAAGAGTTGTTTAGTCTAGTACTTGAGGTAATACGTCTGAAATCAATGGGCAACAGAAAACACACTGGGTAAAACGTTTTTTGGGGGGGCTTTTTATTAATAAAACAAAACCATTGGACATGATCAAATCCGAGCACTAGCGATGGAATAAATAAGTCAAACCAAACCATCAACCTGTACAAGATCATTATAAACTCAAACAATATGGTCCCAAGAAAACAAACATCTGACATGTTTTCACAGCTCTTTATACAAAGTTTATGCGTTAAACTAGAAGCATTAACCGGCTCAATCATAATCAGGTGAAAGCTAAAACATAATAAAGATATATCTAAAACTGAGTGTTGCACATACTGCTCTTCTAACTGTTCATGTCAATTACATAGCATCACTAGTACCAGCTCTGCTGGACTGGGAATGAGGTATATGCTAAGCCATCCTCTTTCTCCACTGAAATTTCATTTCATTTCTCTCTATTGAACTGATGTTTGGATGTGTGTATCCACTGATAAACAAATGGGTCAGACAGGCTAATGCTCTACATCATCTGCCATCTGAACTCATTGGTTTCCGGGGAAATAATTATTGATTGATCAACTCACCTGAATCAAAACATACATAAACAGGTTTGAGGTTGATTATTTAGAGTTGACAGATTTGTGTGAATATGCATTCCTTCCTCTATCCTGAAGTTCGGTTGCAACCCACAGAGAGCACCTTGAATGAAGATCTGAGCACCTTAAATGAGAATCTGAGCCAGTTTGATCTACAAGACTGACTGGACACCGCTGGGAGCTGAGGGGAGGTTATAAAGGTGATACACCGTAGTAGTACATTTAAACTACAGAGATGAGAATGAAGACTGTAACTGAAGGACATCATATAAAAACTGTCATTGTTTGGAATTTAGCCTGGATACCAACCTGTTTCTGGCTAACTCCTCAACTCTTTTGTAGTTATCATGCCTTTTGACAGGAAAGGAGCTGGGTAAAGAAACAGACTGACAGCCAGGCTAGTCGGAAGCTGCTGACTCTCTCAAAGTCAATTCTGCTTTCAGAGGTTTGCAGAAATATTTCAGTAGTTGCATCTACTGAATGCGGTTTTGTATCTTTGTAACTGTAACCAATATGAAACTGAAACGGTTTATGTAAATGTTGAATAAAATCATTAGTGTCAGCTCAATGTTAAAACCATAAGGTAAATAAAAACATGGTACAAAAAAAAAGTATTTAAAAACAGTTTGACCTACCAAGTACGTTATACCATATTAACCAAAGCACACCCTCGGATAAAACCTACCTACGCTACAAGCCAGTCCTCGCAACTACAGGAAAAAATTAACGTGACCAGAACCACTGTTGTTCTTCCTCTAGAAAACAAAACAAGTTAAATAAAAATAAAATAAGAAATCCACACCCAGCACAGCAGCAGTAAAACCCTTGTGTGGTGTTTTGTCACATTATACCTTAACAGTGCATTGACCCTCCTGAGCTAAACAACAACCCCAAAACTAAAATAAACAACCGGAAACTGTCCTAAACAAACACCGGAACAACCAACGGTGAGTTAAAGGGAGGTTTCACGTGGCTCCTGTGTTAGAAGATGCAGAGCTACAGTGAGAGAAAAAAGTATTTGATCCCCTGCTGATTTTGTACGTTTGCCCATTGACAAAGACATGATCAGTCTATAATTTTAATGGTAGGTTTATTTGAACAGTGAAAGACAGAATAACAACAAAAAAATCCAGAAAAACGCATGTAAAAATTTTTATAAATTGATTTGCATTTTAATGAGGGAAATAAGTATTTGATCCCTCTGCAAAACATTACTTAGTACTTGGTGGCAAAACCCTTGTTGGCAATCAGAGGTCAGACGTTTCTTGTAGTTGGCCACCAGGTTTGCACACATCTCAGGAGGGATTTTGTCCCACTCCTCTTTGCAGATCTTCTCCAAGTCATTAAGGTTTCGAGGCTGACGTTTGGCAACTCGAACCTTCAGCTCCCTCCACAGATTTTCTATGGGATTAAGGTCTGGAGACTGGCTAGGCCACTCCAGGACCTTAATGTGCTTCTTCTTGAGCCACTCCTTTGTTGCCTTGGCCGTGTGTTTTGGGTCATTGTCATGCTGGAATACACATCCACGACCCATTTTGAATGCCCTGGCTGAGGGAAGGAGGTTCTCACCCAAGATTTGACGGTACATGGCCCGTCCATCGTCCCTTTGATGCAGTGAAGTTGTCCTGTCCCCTTAGCAGAAAAACACCCCCAAAGCATAATGTTTCCACCTCCATGTTTGACGGTGGGGATGGTGTTCTTGGAGTCATAGGCAGCATTCCTCCTCCTCCAAACACGGCGAGTTAAGTTGATGCCAAAGAGCTCGATTGTGGTCTCATCTGACCACAACACTTTCACCCAGTTCTCCTCTGAATCATTCAGATGTTCATTGGCAAACTTCAGACGGGCCTGTATATGTGCTTTCTTGAGCAGGGGGACCTTGCGGGCGCTGCAGGATTTCAGTCCTTCACGGCGTAGTGTGTTACCAATTGTTTTCTTGGTGACTATGGTCCCAGCTGCCTTGAGATCATTGACAAGATCCTCCCGTGTAGTTCTGGGCTGATTCCGGCAGGTAGCTTAGTGGTTAAGAGCGTTGTGCCAGTAACCGAAAGGTCGCTGGTTCTAATCCCCGAGTGAAAAATCTGTCGATGTGCCCTTGAGCAAGGCACTTAACCCTAATTTCTCCTGTAAATCGCTCTGGATAAGAGCGTCTGCTAAAATGACAAAAAAAAAAAAAAAAAGTCACCTTCTCACCAAGCTGCTTGGCGGTGGTCTTGTAGCCCATTCCAGCCTTGTGTAGGTCTACAATCTTGTCCCTGACATCCTTGGAGAGCTCTTTGGTCTTGGCCATGGTGAAGAGTTTGGAATCTGATTGATTAATTGCTTCTGTGGACAGGTGTCTTTTATACAGGTAACAAGCTGAGATTAGGAGCACTCCCTTTAAGAGTGTGCTCCTAATCTCAGCTCGTTACCTGTATAAAAGACACCTGGGAGCCAGAAATCTTTCTGATTGAGAGGGGGTCAAATACTTATTTCCCTCACTAAAATGCAAATCAATTTATAACATTTTTGACATGCGTTTTTCTGGATTATTTTGTTGTTATTCTGTCTCTCACTGTTCAAATAAACCTACCATTAAAATTATAGACTGATCATTTCTTTGTCAGTGGGCAAACGTACAAAATCAGCAGCGGATCAAATACTTTTTCCCCCTCACTGTACATATCTAGGATCAGTTTACCTTCCCTTGTATCCTAATTTTAACCATCAGGGGGGAAAACATAGAAACTAACCTTAGATCAGTGTCTAGAGGCAACTTCATCCTACTCCGTTAGCGTGGGGTGCCAGCATAGAATGTGAAGTCCCATATTGTCAGTGTGTTTGTGTCACAGGTGCAGGTCAGTGTTTCTCTTCTGGGATGAGCTGAGCTCACAGCGCCACCCCTGGCCATGGAGGGGATAACTGGCTGGTTCATAGAACTACTTGTGGCATTAGTGAGGGAGTGAGAGAGAGTGGAAGAAGAGGAGGAGGGCTTCGTGAAGGGAGGTAAAGTCCTTTCTCCCTCTGCTCGGAGGAGTGTTAGGGGCTACGGGGGGAGGAAGAGAGGGAGGGAAGGAAGAGGATAGAGAGAAGAAAGGATGCAGCGGCTATTTCTCCTCGTAGTCCTGAGATGGAGACTCCTGCTTGCTCTTCTTACTGGGAGGAGCCTCTTCCTCCTGTTCCTGCCAGCCCAGAGACAAACACGCAGTCAGATAATGGTGTTTTAGCTAAAACAAGGCTGTACCAGCTTGCCTCTGCTAACATACATTTTTGACATTTTAGTAATTTAGCAGACACTCTTTTCCAGAGCGACTTACAGGAGCAATTAGGGTTAAGTGTTTTGCTCAAGGGCACCGACAGATTTTTGGCCTAGTCGGCTCAGTGATTCGGTTACTGTCCCAACACTTTTTTTATTTTATCATAGTTTTTTGTTATTTTATTTTACCACATTTTTCTCCCCAATTTCGTGGTATCCAATTGGTAGTTACAGTCTTGTCCCATCGCTGCAACTCCCGTACGGACTCGGGAGAGGCGAAGGTCGAGAGCCGTGCGTCCTCCGAAACACAACCCAACCGAGCCGCACTGCTTCTTGACACAGTGCCAGCTTAACCCGGAAGCCAGCCCGCAACAATGTGTCAGAGGAAACATCGTTACCCTGGCGACCGTGTCAGTGTGCACTGCACCAAACCCTCCCCAAACCTGGATGACGCTGGGCCAATTGTGCGCCGCCCATGGGTCTCCCTGTCATGGCCGGCTGCGTCAGAGCCTGGACTCGAACCAGGATCTCTAGTGGCACAGAGACCACTGCACCACTCGGGAGGCCCCACTGTCCCAACACTCTTACCCGCTAGGCTACCTGCCGCCTACAAAACATACAAACACAACTACAGCTGAGGAAGTTATCGGTCCATCTATTCATTTAGAAATGTGGATGGGATAAAAACCCTTAAATTAATCATCTGGTTTCCAAGGAGGTCCTCAGGCCACTCATCTTCTTCATGGAGAAAGAGTAGAATATACAGTATAGTAGAACGTAGAGTAGAGTACCTGAGTGGCTTTGCGGCTGTCTGAGGTGTCCTTGTCTCCTGAGGACGTCTGTCTGCTGTCTCTCTTGTCCCTCTGTCCTCTCTCTGAGCCCTCAGTGGACAGGTTGCTCTTCCCTGCACCACAAACACAGACACACACACACACATTAACACATGACATGAATCACCTGGTAAACCTGTCAGATCTGTTACTGTTGAATGACTGCGTTTGACCATCAATTAATAAGGGCCCAGATAAATCATGCATCGTTTCTGTTACAAGACATTCTACTGTTGAGTATTCATGTTTTCCCCTTTTTTACTACAAACAACTCAAGTCAAGGGATACTGGAAAGGAATTCTAAACACATTGATGCCTCTGTGTGGTAATATGCAATAGTTACACATGTTCAGCTACAAAGGCATAACTGGGGAGGAGTATTATATGTAGGGCTACTAGAGAGAGGAGAGGGGTAGAGAGAAAGAGAGCGGGGTAGAGCGAGAGTTGTATTTTGCACCAGGCTGAGAGAGGTCTCTTGTTAGTAGGGGTGAAGATGGATGGTTGGCAATTGAAGCACCAAGGGTCTGGTCACAGCTGAACTCTCTCTCTATATCCTTCTCTCTCCCCCTCTCAGGGTGATGAGTCTCTGACTACTGCCCTGTAACTTCAGGCCTAACCAGCTAACCAAACAGCAATTGAATATACACTGTTCTTCTAAACCCTACCATTAGCTTCAACCATCCAGTTCTATTAGAAGTGTCTAAGGAAAGGGCCACAAAAGGAGGGGATTTCAGGCTGGGCAATTGTCAGTGATACACCCTGTTCGTGGTGGTGGGTGTGTGTGTGCATGTCTCACCCCTCTTGCTGTCAGGGCTCTGGTCGCTCTTGGCCTCACTGCTGTCGCCGTGGGATACGGCAGTGGGTTCGGGGGCGGGGCTAGTGCTGCAGCTGGTTTCCTGTTTGACAGGGGAGGAGTCGGCGATGGAACTCTGGTTACTGTTGTCGTCTGAAAGAGAGAAGGAGCGAGAGAGGGGTTTTAATTTGGTTTAACTTTCTGGGTCCACAGGCATATACACTGACCCACACAGCGGGTGTTAAGTGTCCTACAGAGTTCAAAGCGGCAGAGCCACATGGTTTATTGTGAGATACAGCCGCAACTAGATAACAACCAAGGTTTGTAATTAAGTGATAATGCCCGAGAAGCCGGTGTTTGGAGGATATACAGTGCATTCGGAAAGTATTCAGACCCCTTGACTTTTCCCATATTTTGTTATGTTACAGCCTTATTCTAAAATGGATTCAATTGTTTTTTCCCCTCATCAACCAACACACAATACCCCATAATGACAAAGCAAAAACTGGTTTTTAGAAATATTTGCACAAAAACAAACAAAAAAATATAACATTTACATAAAGTATTCAGTCAGGTTGGATGGGGAGTGTCGCTGCACAGCTATTTTCAGGTCTCTCCAGAGATGTTTGATCGGGTTCAAGTCAGGGCTCTGGCTGGGCCAATCAAGGACATTCAGAGACTTGTCCCGAAGCCACTCCTGCATTGTCTTGGCTGTGTCCTTAGGGTCGTTGTCCTGTTAGAAGGTGAACCTTCGCCCCAGTCTGAGGTCCTGAGCGCTCTGGAGCAAGTTTTCATCAAGGACCTCTCTGTACTTTGCTCCGTTCATCTTTCCCTCGATCCTGACTAGTCTCCCAGTCCCTGCCGCTGAAAAACATCCCCACAGCATGATGCTGCCACCACCATGCTTCACCATAGGGATGGTGCCAGGTTTCCTCCAGACGTGATGCTTGGCATTCAGGCCAAAGAGTTCAATATTGGTTTCATCAGATCAGAGAATCTTGTTTCTCATGGTCTGAGAGTCCTTTAGGTGCCTTTTGGCAAACTCCAAGCGGGCTGTCATGTGCCTTTTACTGAGGAGTGGCTTCTGTCTGGCCACTCTACCATAAAGGCCTGATTGGTGGAGTGCTGCAGAGATGGTTGTCCTTCTGGAAGGTTCTCCCATCTCCACAGAGGAACTCCGGAGCTCTGCCAGAGTGACCATCGGGTTCTTGGTTAACTCCCTGACCAAGGCACTTATCCCCCGATTGCTCAGTTTGGCCGGGCGGCCAGCTCTAGGAAGAGTCTTGGTGGTTCCAAACTTATTCCATTTAAGAACTTTTTTGTTTTGTTTTTCATGATGCAGTGCCTTAGACCGCTGTTCTTGGGGACCTTTAATGCTGCAGGCATTTTTTGATACCCTTCCCCAGATCTGTGCCTCAACACAATCCTGTCTCAGAGCTCTACGGACAATTCCTTCGGTTTTTGCTCTGACATGCACTGTCAACTGTGGGACCTTATATAGACAAGTGTGTGCCCTTCCAAAGCATGTCCAATCAATTGAATTTAGCACAGGTGGACTCCCATCAAGTTGTAGAAACATCTCAAGGATGATCTATGGAAACAGGATGCACCTGAGTTCAATGTCGAGTCTCATCGCAAAGGGTCTGAATACTTATGTGAATAAGGTATCTGTTTTTTATTTTTAACAAATTTGCAAAAAAATCTAAAAACCTGTTTTCGCTTTGTTATTATGGGGTATTGTGTGTGGATTAATGAGGATGTTTTTTTTTTTAATTCAATTTTATAATAAGGCTGTAACATAACAAAATGTGGAAAAAGTCAAAGTGTCTGAATACTTTCCGAATGCACTGTATTGGCATGGGTGTTGTTAGCAAACTGTGCCAATATATCCTCCAAACACTGGCTTCGAGGGCATTATCACTTTTATACAACGGGTTACCAACATATTCAAATAATGATAACTTACAGTCATGTCAAACAGTGCAGCCAGAATAACAGCAAAGTAGCTGCATTTGCATTTGTTTAAGCTGCTTTCTAGTGACATTTATTTGGATACATCCATAACAATGAGCTAATGATGCACGATATCGCCTGGCATAGAAAATGTGCGCTCTCGTCAGGACACTGTTGTTCAGCCAACAACACAACTAACACAATCACTTCAAACTTAAGCTGGAAAGACTGCAAAGTAGCTGCATTTTGTTTGACCTGTTTTCTATTGATATTTCTTTGTACATATCCATAAAAATTATGCTGGCTGAGAAAAGCTGTCTGTCTGTCTCGTCCCGACTCGTTCATTACTATGGGACAGCTGGAGATTGAATTTCAATATTGAAACAATGTTGCACATTTCGGATACATACAGCAAGGTTTATACAAATCTCCGCTGTTGAAAACCAAATGCTACTCTAAAAGAAATGTTAGATAATGTATAGATTATCTTTATAGTGGAGATCAAGTTTATAAATTGGCTGGTTGGGATGATGAGACAGTGGATTGCGCAGTGCGATGGAACAGAGTAAATAGGCCTTTCAACGTCATAGCTTTAGCCTGTGGTAACTTGTGGAATAGACGCTGGCTGGAATGCGGTTTTAACCAATCAGCATCCAGGATTAGTAATAATGGACCGTTCGCCAGAGTATCGTGGCTATGGACTCTGAAATGAGCATTACTCACCATGCATGTCCATCATCCCAGGAGAAGAGCTATTCTCTGGTGTGGTCAATTCTGACCCATACTTCTCATCCTTCCCCTTTTTCTTCTTCTTATTCTTCTGCAAGATAACAGATGGCGGCAGAAATACTGGTTACATACAACACAGTGACGTGATGTGAGTTTGTGGAGTTTGAAGAGGTGCTTAGAGAATTCCTGTAAAAAACTAATCTACTGAACTTGAATGCAGCTGACGTGTGTGGGGGGGATTACGTACATCATCTGCTGATTTGGGCTGAGTCACTGGAACCCACTTGAAGATCCTCAGGGACGTGTCACCAACTGTCACCCATTTCTTCTCCCTTGTAGACACACACACACACACACAAACACACACAGGTTTAGAATTAATTTAATGGTTCAATTCAATTCCCATTCAATGTTTCTTTAGTGGTATCAACTGGACCAGTGGTACACGCAAAACACCACAAAGAAAAAAGTCAGTCAGTCAGACAGAAACAAGAACATGGAGACAGTCACAGACTATAGTAATAAAAGTAAATACAATTTGATTGATTGATTAATAGCATAATGGTTCCCATCCCTCCTAGTTAAAACCAATGAGGCCTTTTTGCATAATAATAATAAAACAGTAATTTAATTTCTGCACTAGCAGATTCGATACAAATGTGGGCCTATTACAATTGAAAAGCACAATTGAAACATAAACACGAAAACAAACTTTGGTAGGCTATTAGAATTTGTTTTAATTCTTTCCATCTTGAAGGTTTCCTGATTGTAATTTGCAAATAGCCTTCAATATGGTCCTATTGCTTTTTAACAGTGATTTTTCAAATGTTTTAGCAGAATTACTTAATAATGGGGACACGAGTGCAGAATCTCAATTTTAATTCATAAAGTAAACTAATCAAACTAACCCACTGGTGAAAATAAATGGTGCCTTGCTAGAAAACAATTAATTAACATATTTTGAAAGGGAAAAAAATTCAGTGGTATTGCTAAACTTTGAAAATGTTATATTTGTAAAACCCTGAGACTGACTCATTGCGTCTTCAGTCAAACATGAGTACTCCCTCTCCCAGCCCCCACGCGCAATCTCTTTTCGACCTAAAGGGCGACTCAAAGCGCTTCATTTAAAACTCCAGACGGTCTAAAAAGTACTCAGACTCTAGAGCGCACTAGTCGTAGCCTATAGTCCAGAAGTGTGTTTTTGAATGATTTGCGTCGAGTCGGCGTTCTGAAACAGTCGGCTCTCCCTCTTCACTACTACAGCCGCCAGGAGAAAGGAATGGCTTCATGTGACTGCAACGAAATGGCTTCTGGGTTCAACCCACATTAAACCTTGGTGGAAAATTCTCTAAAATCATAGGGATCTGGTTTGTAGGCGATTAGATATACGTAGTCGCGCACACCACGAGTGCGCCCTAGCGCACCTGAGAAGGGCAATCTGTCCTAAATTCCCTTAAAATATCAGCAGTCTTTCAATTGCATTCTTGCTCGTTCTCTCCCCCCTCCCCTCTGCCCCCAACAAGCAAGGCTTTTCCTCATGTTAGGCAACGAGTGTTTTTTCCCTCTGTCTTACCATTTCCGTACTTTCTCAATCGCGGCCATAACCCGCTTGATGTCATCTTTCGCCCTGCTCCGGGTCTCCGCTCGGACCGACCTGCCCGACATTGCCACGGTTGGAAGGCTAGAATATTTTTAAAGCTCGCCGGCAGTTCAGACACAATGCAAACGCACAGTACAGAGCCAGCGCGCCTGCGCCGAGTAGAGGCCGCAGCTGCAGAGAGTCGCCCTGTTTCCCGCTGTGATCCACACAGGAGCACAAAGCAACACAAATTCAACTGCGGAAAACTATGCATAAAACTTATTTGCCGGAAAAAATACTCTTGGTATAACAACAAAGTTAAACTCTCATGTTTTAGCAATATAGGTATTTGCCGAAATGTACATGTTCCTATGCATAGGCTACATAATAAACTAGGCTAAACTTCAACCACACACAATATAGTGTTCTAGATTTTAGCAGACGCTCTTATCCAGAGCGACTTACAGTTAGTGAGTACATACATTTTCATACTGGCCCCCAGTGGGAAACGAACCCACAACCCTGGCGTTGCAAGCGCCATGCTCTACCAACTGAGGTACAGGGGACCTGTAGACCTCAACAATTATTTGGGGCATCCTTTACAAAATTGTTAATACAATTTTACATAATTCTGTCCTTTGGAGAAAAATATGTTTCATATACATTTTTATTACAAGACAACTGCCATAATGGACCAAAAGACAACACAGTGGTAGATACAACTATGAACAAAATAAATGGTGGCTTAGCCTAGTTATGTAAAACAAAAAGAAAAGGTAAAACTGAAAGCATGTAACAAAACCAAGGCACTCTTTTTGTGATCTAAATTAGAAAGCTTTTATTAGATTACCACCTACGCATTTCGAAAACCATGTCTTCATCAGAGTATGGTTAAAAGTAGCATAGATCACAAATTAGTGTCTTGGTTTTTATTGCAGACTTTCCGTTTCACCGTTTTTGATACATAAGCAACAAAATATTTTATTCTCAGTCTATTTGACCCAATGAGCACCCCTTTGAAAAAAATGTGCCTATAATTTTCACAGAAGTAATAGTAGTAGATAACGTTAGTAGTAAAAAAGAGTGAGAACAATGTGAAGACAATTGAAGGTTACCAAAAAGGGTTGGGTTGGAGATCAAGATGGGGCATTAAAGGAAAAATATGTGATTTCAGCCTTGTGACTGTTATAGGGACCTTTATTCCGTAAACTCATTTCATGTTGACTTTGTTTTCTATGTCATATGTCTGTTTATGTCTAGGATTTCCATATTTTTTATGGATGAATGAATAAAGTCAGAGATTAGATCAAGATCATGAAGTGAAAAACATGAAAGTTTACTAGGAAGTAAACATGATTTTTTCTCACTTCATGATCTTTATCATTAACATTACACAACACGCAGCTGAAGTTCCTATTACTTCCCTTATAAGGTAATCATTTCGCAATTGACCACTCCTGTCAACTACAGGTCTACAGCACATACAGTGCCTTGCAAAAGTATTCATCCTCCTTGGCGTTTTTCCTATTTTGTTGCATTACAACCTGTAATTTAAATGGATTTTATTTGGATTTCATGTAATGGACATACACCTTTGATACTGTGAACCATCAGATCCTCCTCTCCACCCTCTCAGAGTTGGGCATCTCTGGCGCGGCTCACTCTTGGATTGCGTCCTACCTGACAGGTCGCTCCTACCAGGTGGCGTGGCGAGAATCTGTCTCCGCATCACGTGCTCTCACCACTGGTGTCCCCCAGGGCTCAGTTCTAGGCCCTCTCCTATTCTCGCTATACACCAAGTCACTTGGCTCTGTCATATCCTCACATGGCCTCTCCTATCATTGCTACGCAGACAACACACAATAAATCTTCTCCTTTCCCCCTTCTGATAACCAGGTGGCGAATCGCATCTCTGCATGTCTGGCAGACATATCAGTGTGGATGACGGATCACCACCTCAAGCTGAACCTCGGCAAGACGGAGCTGCTCTTCCTCCCGGGGAAGGACTGCCCGTTCCATGATCTCGCCATCACGGTTGACAACTCCGTTGTGTCCTCCTCCCAGAGTGCAAAGAGCCTTGGCGTGACCCTGGACAACACCCTGTCGTTCTCCGCTAACATCAAGGCGGTGACCCGATCCTGTAGGTTCATGCTTTACAACATTCGCAGAGTACGACCCTGCCTTACACAGGAAGCGGCACAGGTCCTAATCCAGGCACTTGTCATCTCCCGTCTGGATTACTGAAACTCGCTGTTGGCTGGGCTCCCTGCATGTGCCATTAAACCCCTACAACTCATCCAGAACGCCGCAGCCCATCTGGTGTTCAACCTTCCCAAGTTCTCTCACATCACCCCGCTCCTCCGCACACTCCACTGGCTTCCAGTTGAAGCTTGCATCTGCTACAAGACCATGGTGCTTGCCTACGGAGCTGTGAGGGGAACGGCACCTCCGTACCTTCAGGCTCTGATCAGTCCCTACACCCAAACGAGGGCATTGCGTTCATCCACCTCTGGCCTGCTGGCCCCCCTACCTCTGCGGAAGCACAGTTCCCGCTCAGCCCAGTCAAAACTGTTCGCTGCTCTGGCACCCCAATGGTGGAACAAGCTCCCTCATGACGCCAGGACAGCGGAGTCACTCACCACCTTCCGGAGACACTTGAAACCCCACCTCTTTAAGGAATACCTGGGATAGGATAAAGTAATCCTTCTACCCCCCCTTACCCCACCCCCCCCAAAAATAAAATAATAATAATTTTTAAAAAATTGTAAAGTGGTTGTCCCACTGGCTATCATAAGGTGAATGCACCAATTTGTAAGTCGCTCTGGATAAGAGTGTCTGCTAAATGACGAAAATGTAAATGTAATACACAAAATAGTCCAAATTGGTGAAATGAAAAAAATAACGTCTTTCAAAAAATTCTGAAAAATAAATAACGGAAAAGTGGTGCGTGCATAAACTTGAAGTCAGAAGTTTACATACACTTCAAATCAAGGATTGTTGTATTTATTTTTATTATTCATAAATATTATCCTGCCAACCCCACTATATTAAGATTTATTTAAATATATTATGGAGAGATGTACTGCTTGGATTCTTTACCTATGATAGAAATAAGTTGAACAATTTTATATAATACATTTCATTATTCTTTTGTCCAAATTTCATAGTCACAAAGGTACATTTACAAACAAAACACCACATTTTCTTACCTTACAAAAATAAATGGAACTATATTTTAAGACATTTAAATACTCTGCAAACAAAAAAACTGTTAGAATTAGAAATGTGTGTATGTCCCTTAAGGTCCTTGTGTAATGTGATATTGTACCCCCTAGCCCAAATGACCTTTGTATATTCTTTGTATATACAGTTGAAGTCGGACGTTTACATACACTTAGGTTGGAGTCAATAAAAGTCGTTTTTCAACCACTCCACACATTTCTTGTTAAACTATAGTTTTGGCAAGTCGGTTAGGACATCTACTTTGTGCATGACACAAGTAATTTTTCCAACAATTGTTTACAGACAGATTATTTCACTTATAGTTCACTGGGTCAGAAGTTTACATACACTAAGTTGACTGTGCCTTTAAACAGCTTGGAAAATTCCATAAAATGATGTCATGGCTTTAGAAGCTTCTGATAGGCTAATTGACATAATTTGTGACAATTGGAGGTGTACCTGTGGATGTATTTCAAGGCCTACTTTCAAACTCAGTGCCTCTTTGCTTGACATCATGGGAAAATCAAAAGAAATCAGCCAAGACCTCAGAAAAACAGTCTGATACATCCTTGGGAGTAATTTCCAAATGCCTGAAGGTACCACGTTCATCTGTACAAACAATAGTACGCAAGTATAAACACCATGGGACCACGCAGCCATCATACCGCTCAGGAAGGAGACGCATTCTGTCTCCTAGAGATTAACTTACTTTGGTGCGAAAAGTGCAAATCAATCCCAGAACAACAGCAAAAGGACCTTGTGAAGATGCTGGAGGAAACAGGTACAAAAGTATCTATATCCACAGTAAAATGAGTCCTATATCGACATAACCTGAAAGGCCGCTCAGCAAGGAAGAAGCCACTGCTCCAAAACCGCCATAAAAAAGCCAGAATAAGATTTGAAACTGCACATGGGGACAAAGATCGTACTTTTTGGAGAAATGTCCTCTGATCTAATGAAACAAAAATAGAACTGTTTGGCCACAATGACCATCGTTATGTTTGGAGGAAAAAGGTGGCTGCTTGCAAGCTGAAGAACACCATCCCAACCGTGAAGCACGGGGGTGGCAGCATCATGCTGTGGGGGTGCATTGCTGCAGGAGGGCTGGGGCACTTCACAAAATAGATGGCATCATGAGGAAGGAAAATGATGTGGATATATTGACGCAACATCTCAAGACATCAGTCAGGAAGTTAAAGCTTGGTCGCAAATGGGTCTTCCAAATGGACAATGACCCCAAGCATACTTCCAAAGTTGTGGCAAAATGGCTTAAGGACAACATAGCCAAGGTATTGGAGTGGCCATCACACTGCCCTGACCTCAGTCCTATAGAAAATGTGTGGGCAGAACTGAAAAAGCGTGTGCGAGCAAGGAGGCCTCCAAACCTGACTCAGTTACACCAGCTCTGTCAGGAGGAATGGGCCAAAATTCACCCAACTTATTGTGGGAAGATTATGGAACGCTACCCGAAACGTTTGACCCAACTTAAACAATTTAAATGCAATGCTACCAAATACTAATTGAGTGTATGTACATTTCTGACCCACTGGGAATGTGATGAAATAAATAAAAGCTGAAATAAATCACTCTCTACTATTATTCTGACATTTCACATTCTTAAAATAAAGTGGTGATCCTAACTGACCTAAAACAGGGAATTTTTACTAGGATTAAATGTCAGGAATTGTGAAAAACAGAGTTTAAATGTATTTGGCTAAGGTGTATGTAAACTTCCGACTTCAACTGTATGTATTCACACCCTTTGCTATGAAGCCCCTAAATAAGATCTGGTGGAACCAATTACCTTCAGAAGTCACATAATTAGTTAAATAAAGTCCACCTGTGTGCAATCTAAGTGTCACAT